GAGCTGCATGCTGGGTTTGGGTAGATTGTGGTTAGCAAACCTTTCTAGCTCCAGTGATTGATTAAACTTTTGCTATGATAGAAAACTAAAATAAAACAAGACTTTTGAGGCATTAAGAAAAAGAAACATTAGTGAAATTAATAAGCAATTAGTTGAGTTGAGCAAATAAAAATCTGGCCAGTTATTTTTTTTATGCCAAGCATTCATGTTCCCCATTCATTTTCTCCCATAATTACTCATCAATCTAATTCATTTCATATTTTGAGACAGCTTGTAAGTGGAGACCAAGGTCCTCCGCAGATGCACAGAGAAACTAATTGGCTGCTGATTGTGTGTCATTTCCTGGACTTGGAGTTATTTTTCTAATTGACAATAAACGGTTAAATCACCCAAAAGTCAATCAGAAAGACATTCTCTTTGAAGACTACAAATTATTAGTTTGTAGTTTTGATTTAATTTAGAGTGTATTGGCAGTTTCTTCATCAGGACCCAAAACTTAGTTTTGGGTCTTTTGCAAAGTGACCGTTTGGTTTTATTCAGTTTTTTTTTTTCCTTGCTGTTTTGCGACCATATTTCCAGGTCATTGCAGGATTAAACTTTATTTGAAGGGCTGTGCACAATACTAACATTAAATTAGGTGTCATTTGGTGAATGACACTTTGAGGCGAGTAAAGTGTGAGACCCATTTATGGAGGCCTTCGTCCTCCTCGCATTTTCACATATTTGAGTCACGTTGATATTTGCCACGTCTTTCCCTTTTTTCACAACCTACTTTCTTGTCAATTGACGTGACGTAGTGTCATAGCCCAGTGACGTGACGCAGTGACCCCAACCCAGGTGTACAGACAGAGGACTTTGGATTTTGGACCACATCTCCAAGCGACCTCGGTCACGATTGTAGAAATCTGATTGTGTCGTTCAGACAGTCATAAAAACATCAGATACGAGTCACATGAGGGCTAGACAAAATCAGACTTGGCTCCAGTGAACGTAGCTGATGACAGATGTTATTTTTATGACAGTGTCACGTCATAAGAAGCACGTCTATGTTCATGTGCATACTTCATTATTAGTAACATTTGAATTAGTAATGTTTTATACAAATGTAAAGGCATCTGCAATAAACATAAATCACAAACAGGCTCATTAATCCCAGCTGCAGAATATAAATGTCCCATTTTTTTTCTTCCCAGATGGTGTTGGGAATCCAGTGCGAACTGAGGAGACAGCTGAGGAGCTTCATCTCCCTGGAGAGGTTACCGCTGGTCTCCGAGCCCGTGGGCTCAGCTTGCCACAGGCCGTCTCGCCCTCCGCCCTTCGGCTCCCGACCCTTCATTCTCGGCCCCAACATCCGCTTCGCCGTGTCACACGGTCGGGTGAGCGCGGAAGTCATCGGGGTGGCCAGCGAGGACAGCCGGCGGGTGGCGGCCATCCTGAACAGCGCCGTCCACCTCACCGGGCTGAGCTTCACCGTGCACGGCTGCGACACGCACCACTTCCTGCAGTCCCGTCCCATCGAGGAGGACCTCGCCCTGGGGCTGGGCGTCGGGGGACGCATCCTGGAGAGCGGCGTCAACGTGAGCGTGTCCCAAATGAGTGCCACGGTGAACGGCAGGACTCGACGCTTCGCCGACATCACCCTCCAGCAGGGGGCGCTGTGCCTGTGCGTGCGCTACGGCGGAACGGAGGAGGAGGAGAGGGCGCGGGTGAGGGAGGAGGCGAGGAAGAGGGCGGTGGAGGGCGCCTGGGAGAAGGAGAGGAAGCGGTTGGATTTGGGGGACGTTGGGAGCCGGTTGTGGAGCGAGGCGGAGAAGCAGCAGCTGCTGTCCGGCGGTCGCGTTCAGGGTTACGACGGCTACTACTCCCTGCCTATAGAGCAGCAGCCGGAGCTGTCCGACTGCCCCTCCAACATCCACTTTATGACACTTAGCGAGGTGGGGGGCAGGTAACAGAGACACACAGACAGCCCCCCATCCCACCAAAGACAGCCTGTTTCTACTCTGCTCTGATTTGTTCTACTGTTTCTATACTTTACTGAAAAATAAAAAAGAAGACGATCACTACGGAAAACAAGAAGAGAGAATGGGAGGAGGGGGGATAAAAAACAAACTTCCAAATGCCTTTAATTGTGACAAAATGATGGTATTTTATTATTATCGTCCAGTTTCTCCGATTTCTAACAGTGGCACAAGCGGTGTGGTTTGGCTGTGGCTTTGCTTTTTGTATCCTGACTGACGGACTGACGAACTCACGGACCGACAATCTGCCATTTACTGTTTCAACACTGTTCAATCATTTGGGACCGTGTTTAAAAACCACTGAACTACAGAGATGGAAGACTTAAGGGTGGCCAGTGAACGATCCTCTTCATGACTCCAATCACGAACTCTCCAGTTGCCATTTTGAGTTCCCCCCACTTCCCCATGGTTTACCTCGGATATACTACCGTTTACATATTGTGTAAGAGAGGCCTTGTTGACTCTGGCACTCCCCTTTAGAGAAGAAACCTCCTGCGGTTTCAACCTCTGGTGTGCTCCAACTGTAGTTTGTATGAGTGTGTATACTAAAATCAAGAATGTACATAGCCAGTGCTTTCACACTGAAAAAAAAAAGTACTCAACTGAAGATTATGTTGTTCATAAGTGTCAGTATTGTTAATCAATAGAAGATCTGTTACATTTTTTTGCAAAGATTATACATGGCTATAGTAACTATTCTCGCTAAAAAAGATAGCTCACTTTATTGGGTTACGATGCTGATTAAAGTTATTATGTGTGAATTACCAGGTTGTTCCCTGAGATTTCATGTTGGACTGGTAAAACCAATTGTGAGAATTCAGGAAATAAAATATGTATTAATTTTCAACCATTTCTTGATAAGAAAAAAAAAGTGTACAGTGACGGTTCAGCATTCACTATTCTTAGATTTTTCTCTGGAACGTGACTCCAAATTACTTGTGGAAACCTCACCTTATTCAGATATTTACTCTATGCTATATACTAATAAAATGCAGCAGGGGAAGCTGAAATACCCAATGCTGCATGGCAGGTGTTTGTAAAACAGCCAATCCAGGAGCACCATTGGTTTTCCTTGGTCCTACTTGGCTCTATCCTCAAAAGCAAAAAAATGGCTGCTGCGGTCGTGCTAAGACATTTACCACTGCACATATTAATGCATAGTGACCTACTGCAATAGGCAGTTTTAAGTGTTTTAGGGTCTGAAGTAGTCACGGATTTTTGCTTTTTGTGGGCAGCTTTGGTCCAGGAAACCACCGTAATGGAACAACTACAAAAATAAAAAAGTAATAAAGAAAAAAGAAAGAAAGAAACACCAACCAGTTTTTAAAATCTACAAAATTCCTACTATTGTTTTTAGATTTTATATTGTCCAAAAGTACATGTTTAGGTTCTACCAATTCTGTTTTACATCAACCTTAAATTTAAAAAAAATGGAAAACGTTTATTCATTTCTATTTTATTCATCAAATGCAAATTCAAAACATTGGAACAATAAACCATGATAACAGTTTGTGTTGAAAATTTCTCAACACAACATATTAATATACATTTGCAACTTAAAAGCTTAGCTGGATTGATACAGAAGCTATCTTGTAAATCATAATATAGTTTGACAGGTTTGACAGTAATTTGCACAAAGTTTTACCAAATCAGACAAGTCCCTTTTTTACTGCCAATGACATTGCAGCCAGGCAAACATTGATAGTGCGAGACACTACTGTGAAGACTTCCACTCCGTACTTAATCTTAAAAATGAATACAAATAAAAAGAGTGAGATATTGATACGCTTCTAAGAAATTATGCTAAAGACAATGATGAGCTTTTTGTTAGCAAAATCTGTCTCAAGGACAGCGCACACCAGCGGCATCCAACATGCATCAATACACCCCTATTATTTTCTATTAAGCAATTTTTCTGGTCAACTGCCAACGGTAAAAGATGCAGCAATTGTTTCAAGCTGCACATGATCCACAATTTAACCACTTTAAGTTCAGTGGCAATGAATATCTTGCCTGGTGATTAATTTCTGACGAGTGTAAATGAAAATGCATGAGAAGGAAGGTGATGTTTGCTGCTTTTAGAAAGATTTACATAGTAAAGATTTTGCAGTATTACGAATTCCTCTTAGTGTAGAGAGTAATGTATTTACGCTTCTTATAGTAGGCTATGCCACCTTGTGGCACAAATAGATTACTGCATTTAAATCAACTCCACATGTATGTCCTTTTTCTGCACACGTAAGCATGAGGCTTGATGACGTCATGTTGTGTCGCCGCTCCCCTTCAGAATTAGGAAACTCAAGTTGCTAGTAAGTTTGACTTTGGCATTAGCATTGTGGGAAAACTAGCTGATAATTTCTGACGCTTGTGTGACAATTCTTGACCTTTAGCTAGCTTAGCTTCACGGCTAAGCTAGCAAAAGGCCGCAAAGTTTAGCTAGCTTCGCGGCTAAGCTAGCTAAACATGGACGCCAACTGAAATTCTTGCGCCCATCAAATAAAAGGTTTCTCAACCAAAAGTTTGACAATAATTAAAATAATTACTTAAAAAATTATCCCAATTTAATAACTTGACACACACCGTGTGTGTAGCTTATGTTATTCCCTAAGAGGTTTTACTCTTGCAGCAGAAAAAAAAGCAGCTGTATGATGAAATATGTGAATCAACAAAATACAAAGTTTTCTGACAAAAGTGCAGGAAGACACTCCAGAACAGAACCGGTTGGCTGGCATTTAGTACAAACTGTACAGAAAACTCAGCCAAGACCTTTTAAGGCGAATCAGAACCAACTGAATAAACAGGAAATAATAAACATATTCAAAAAATAAAAATACTGAGGAGTTGCCAAGCCTCAACTTAACTAAACAGTTAAACTGAAAGATGGACTTGCTCTACAACAGCTAACCGTCAAGTTAAACTCGTGTTTGTTCAAAACTTTAAAGACTTTTATGGTTAAACTTGCTTGTTATTTCTCTCGCACTTTTCTTCTTCTTCTCCTTCTTTTTTTTTTTCTTTTTTTTTAGCCGGGCTCCTTCTTTGTTCTCGCTTCTCGGAAGTTGCAACTTTCAAATCTGTGCTGTCGCTATCAGCCATCATTACGGCTCAAACCGAGGTGTGCATAAGGAAACCTGCGTCTGTCAGAAGCGAAGAAGAAGGAGGAGGAAGAGGAGGAGGAGGAGAGAGAAAGGAAGAAGAAGAAAAAAAAAGCACAGAGGAAGGGAAAGATATGTGACAGCTGAGGCTCAGCGAGTGGGCGGTGAGTGCAGAAGGGGCAGGACCTGGAGTTGGCTGTGCTGTTCGCTGCAGCTTGTCTCCTCTCATTAGGAAGTGCCAATCAGACTGCAAACCACTTCCAAGCTGAAGAAGAAAGTGAAAAAAAAGAAAAAAAAGGCGAAAGTAAAAAAAAAAAAAAAAAGTTAGTTTTCCCTTTTTTTTCTAAAAGAAAAGAAAAAGCTACCACTAATCCACCTCCCCTCTCCCCACTCCTCCTCTCTCTCCCTCCCTCCCTGCCATCGCTTCGCCATCTGCTAAGCATTAATTGTCGCGCGTCTCTCTCCGTAGGCTGCGGACGGCGGCGCAGACACACAATGCATATGTTCTGACTGCCAGCAGGTGAGATGTATACGTTTCTGAGTTGCAACGTTGCTGATCGACTGTGACGAACCTCTTCCCGTCTGAAACATATGCTCCACTAGATGCTGTCCAAGCTCATCTCTGCTGCGTGAAGAAGGAGAAAAAGAAAAAAAGATGGAGGGTCCTTTGGTTGCTAGGAGACCGCTGCACTGAAGAACAGTCTGGGCTGAGGATGCTCTACCCGTTTTCTCACCTTCCCCTCCTGTACGTCCCCCACTCATATTTTTTCTCGATGTCAGTCAGAAAAGTGACTGATTTCACAGACACACACACACACACACACACACACACACACACACACACACACACACACTGCCCTCTTGCAGTCAGCATTCTCTCCGTGAAAATCGCTACTTCAATATGCCATATTGAATTTCTCTCCCACCACATTATGTTGTCACTCTGAGCCTTTGGCTGTGTGAGCATGACCTTATTTAGGAGAGCTTCTTTCAGACAAAATCGTTTATTTTCTTCGCCGCCCACTGACAATATTTAAATTTAATTTTTTTTTTTTTTTGTCAAACTCGTGTGCAGTAATAGATATTAATGTTTCAGAGGGAAGAAAAAAAAATGAAAAACTGGCAGAAAGAAATGAGTTTTAAGAAGTTTGAAGTTTGGTGTTCAGTCACTGTTTGGGTCCGACCCTCTCTAACCGAAAGCTTGCGCCACTTCCTTCTTGCTCCTGCTTTTCGGCTCCTGAGCGACGGGCTTCGCCAGATGCTGCAGATAGGGGCTGTTGTTGGGCAGCGTCGGCGACAGGCCATTACCGGTCCGCGCCCGGCTCTGAGCCGTGACGGGGTAGAGCAGAGGCATGGCGATTCCCTGTCCCCGCTTCTGGAAGGCTGCTATCAGGTTCTTGATGTGCCGGAAATACCGCTTCGGCACACCGGGAGTGGTCTGAAAACAGAAGATGGAGGGTTAAAAATAGAACTCATCATTCCTGTGACGTGGCGGTGGAGAGGAAGAAGAAAGAAAGAAAGAAAGAAAGAAAGAAAGAAAGATGCTTCTGCAGATTCAACATATGAAAGACAGACTGGAGGTGGAGGGGAGAGGAAAGTTCAGCGCACAAAGGAAATGGGAATCCTGTCAGTTAAATAATCCGAGCCACTGATCTCGAAAGAGTCCGCGTTAAAATATTAAAAAGCGCCCCATTAATAAATAAAATGACGCGGTGGAGATAATATAAATACACAAAAGCTGCATAAATAGCTTCAGAAGAGTAGATATTTGCAGGAGGAGATTCTCTCCGGAGGGAATCCAAAGCTAAACTTGGTAAATTTAAGATATGCTTCTCTTTGTAAACATCCAGATCCCTTTGGAATTGTTTTGTATTTCTCAGCAAACGAAAAGCCGTACTTTTGTGGTTTTATGTGTGACATTTAAGATCCTTTAAGCACTCCATTACCCAGAGGGCTTTACTTGTAGAGTTAATAAAAAAAAGGAACAAATATCCTTTAGAAAAGAAAACCTGATAACTTCCAACGAAAACCGCAAGAGAGTGTTTAAAATGTAGCTCATCGTGAATTTAATGATTATTAAATACCTGTAATATATTCAATATGTGGCAATATGGTAAATGAATGGGTAAATAATCCACCCACTCAACAAAATGTGTCTTCTGCTGCTGAACTTGTCATTAAAAAAAGTTATGGATATATAATGTCTAACTGGGTTCAGGCTGGAAAATGTTATCACAATATTTTGTAGAATTTATTGTGATAGCAGTAAAAATTGTGATCAAAAAAGTGCTTCTAATTTCTTTAGTCTTTTTTGTGAGGCTGTGGCGACACGTCCCCAAAAACACACTAATAATGAATTTAAATTACCTTTAATTCCTCTTTGCAAAGTATCCTTCAAAACACTAGTTATGAAGGTGTTTACCATCAAAAGTCCCCTAAGCTGCACACGGCAACTGCATTTAATCACATTTTTGGAAAATATCGACATTCACAGGCACTCTCGTGGCGAGTTATCAGCCAGTTTTGGGGCGTTTTCAAACATTGTCAGTTGAATCGTAATCAATTTAACGATAAACGGTACGATAAACGCTCGTCCCTCATTGAAATCTCGTCCTATTCTGAATTCATCATCAGACTGCTCGGTCCGAGTGTGGTCAGCAAATGTTGGCACTGTCGTTTGTTTTGCAGCCTCTCTGCAACCATTATTCACAAGCCATATCTTACCGATCCGTTTCTCACGTGTCATTTTTTTCCCCCTTTCCTTTTACGTTGAGTGTTGCTAAAGAATTGCGGTTTCACAACCGCTGTAAGTTTGTCCAAGAAGGCCTTCAAAAGAGCATTACATGCTTTAATTCGCCGCGCATCCGTCACGCTGTGAGAGCTGAGGTAAAAAAAAAAAAAAAAATCCTTTGAATATGTTTTAAAACGTCATTTAATCAAAGGTGTAGAGCACATCCCAAAGTGCCCACCCCAACCACGTCTCCTCAACAACGCTTTCCATGAATAATGGAAAGCGTAGGGGAATTGTTGTCGACGACGTCCGGCATGGTGCTAGCTGTGAAAACGCAGTCCTAAAGGCTGCGTCCTGTCTCGGTTGTTGCGGCAAATCGAGGGGCAACTCGGATGTCTCCATACGCATCCCATCAGAAACACCGACTTCAAATTTTGAGGAGTGTGGATTAAGGGGGCGCAGACTGCTTGCAGGATGGTATTGGTGAAGGGAAAGAAATGTACCCATTTCTCTGTGCTGTCATATCTCAAATATATATATATATGTGTGTGTGTGTGTGTGTGTAGAGAGAGAGAGAGACAGAGAGAGAGAAGCAAAACGGGGGAAAAACAGAAAGAAAACATGTTTGCCTCAGATCTGCAGCTTGTTGAATTACTCTGACACAAAAACAACTGCTAACCTAATAAACAGCAACCGCAGTGAGGCAGACGTGCAGCTGCTCGTGCGAAAGGTTTCAGTCTAAAAGTAGAAATTTTAACAATAAATAAATTTTAAAAAGAAGAAGACGTCTCACTTCTGCAGCCCACGAGCCCGCTTCGTCCTTGTGGAGTCTGTACGTGTAGACGAATCCTTTGCACCTGAGCACAGACACACTTTTTTTGAGAATGAGCATGCACATGACATTTCTTTTGTTTTTCGGTGAGGGGTTGTGGGAAGGTGCTCAAGTGGGAAGTAATGGCACCTTAATGGCATAATTTAGTTGAATCTGACTGCTAAGTATCATACACTCACACAGGAAAGTAGATATCTTTACTGTTGATGCTATTTTTCAGATAAACTGAAAACACGGATGTACTTTATGAAATTCTTAGACTCACAAATGGCGTAAGTTAAAAATTCAAGTTTTTAACTTACAAGAAAATAATATGCTGTAAAACCAGAAACAACAACAACAAAGAAATTGCTCAAAATCTCACAAGGGCACATTTTTCTAGCACCACGTAGTATGTATCTGAGACAATGTGCTCATCTTTTTATTTTTAATGACATAAGTTCCCCAGCGACTTCGCTTGTAGAGTTTGATAACAGATGACAGAAACTGCTTGGGTTATCTGGTTTAATGCGGGTTTCTAAACGATTTCGTAGAACTGCAGAAGATGGGTTTTTTGTTTTTTTGAGGATTTTCATGAAACGTGGAACGAGGAGAAACGCCAAGAGACTGGATACTCACAACACACACAGGCAGAAGACGCCCGGCACCGAGTCGCTGTCACGTACTAAGTAACACCCGTCTCTCCCGTCCTGGCCCAGCCGCCTCTCGCCCTCCTCCTTGCCAATGGGCCCGTGGTAGACGGTCAGGTCCTCCATCACCGCTTTCCTCCGACTGCGCCTTTCGCTTTGTTCCTAAGTGCCAGCGCTGTTCTCTTTGTCTCTGCTTTCTGACTGCAGAGCCCTTTTTGTCTTCCACTCTGAGAAGCTGCACAGGTACAGCAGTTTTACAATTTTTTTTTCTTGTTCAGCCTTTTGCTTCTCAAACGTCTGCTCAGGAAATTTCAGCTTCAGACAAGGACCTTGACCTTCTTTTTCTTCTTCTTTTTTTTTTTTGAAAGATCTCCTTTTTCCACCTGCCCTTCCAAAGAGCTGAAAGTCACTCCGTCTAACCTCTAACCTTTCTGATCTAGTGCCTCCGCAGCCTTCCTCTGTCTTTATGAGGCGCGGTGCTGCGCGCACATGCACACACCGAAAATGTGGGTTTGCATTTCTGTCAGGAAACGATTGTATTTTGCAACAGGAAACAACTTCAAAGATGCTTAACGGAACATTTCCACAACAATAAAAAAAGAAAAAAGCTGAAGAGAGGGATGAACAAAGGCAAACTTTCTAATTTCACACAAGAAAATGCATTATGCATATGGAGTGAAACTTTTTCTTTTTCTTTTTTCCATCGCTGTTGGATTAACAGAAGGTTGCTTGTTCTGTTTCCATGAATAATGATGCACAATCAGTCTGCAGAGGAGGATTTTGGTGAAGAAAACACAGCTTTGTACGAATATTTCTGGTTAGGGAAGAGCAGCCTGATTACATTTATCATTGCATAACTTTTCAGTCTTCTAGGGAAATAAAACGATAGTGCATTTTGAGCAAACAAGCATTTATTGTCAAGTTTTATTTGACGGTATAATTCTCATCTACACCTGGGTGCAGATAGAGTTATCGTCTGTAGTGTAATGAAATGCAGAACTTATGTAGATGAGAAAGGGTTCGGTGTTAATGTTTGTCATGGTAACATTTTCTCTATCTTGTTGAATTTACTGAATCAGGTTCTCAAGAAAGATTTAAACTCTCACTTAAAAGAAAACCGTCAAAGTTGCAGGTTATTTTTGAATTTTTCTTAAGCCACAAAAAGTAACGGTACCACCGCAAAACATCACTGGGTTTTGTTTTTTGATAAAGAAGTGCATACCTGTGAACGGAAACAAAAAATGAAAGTAGTTTTTGACTTTTCTTTCTTTTTTTTGTGTGTGAACACAAATCTGAAAAGTGTGGGTTAGAAAGCATTTTGCTGTACATTTTTCTGAACACACCATCCACCCTGTCGTCTTAACATGGTGGGAGCAGCATTAGTTGAGTTGCTCAGTCAAAGTCCAGATCTAAATTCGTCTGAGAATCAAAACGCGAGACGCGACTGTCCTCCATCCTCTCCGACTGAACTTGAGCTAATTTTATGAACCTGGGTGTAAAAAGCCGTTCGAGAAACACAAAAGCAATAAGACTTCCAACAAAAGGTGGACCAATTCATGGGGGCTAAATACATGCACTCTTCAGATGTTTGTTTGTAAAACATGACAAAATCTGCAGTTTGTAAAGTTTTGTAAGACCTTGTGTATGCCAGTCTTATGAAATCCAAACAGAGCAAATTAAAGTTTGTGTTGCAGTGCTATAAATGACTATTGGAGCTTACACAGCCATATTTGTACGATTCTGAAGAACATTTGCACCGGTGATCTGAGTCTACTTGTTGACATACCTTACCGATAATCTAGGTCCAGAGAGAAAAGGATGCAAATTTCATAACTTTTCTTGTTTACTTTTGTCAAGAGAGGCAAAAGTAAACTAAATGTTTTACCTGCAGCTTGAGAGAGTTCTTGTTTTCCTCAGCAGGCGCCTCACACATGTTCTCAGAAAACTTTTTGCGGACGTCTTCTGTTAAACATGTGTTTTGGAAACACCCAGCTGCTTTGTCACACAAAGAGGAATCAGCTAATGAAGCTGTGTGCACAACAAACTCATCCTGCAATCTGTCCTGTCAGTCGCACAACTTCTGCTGTGTCAAACTGGGAGGCTGCCGTTCACTGCCGCGTCGCTATTATTAAGAATAGTGTTCTTAAATAATATTTTGGATGTTTACGGTGATCAAAGCTACTACTGAAAGCCCTTCACACCATCAAATGCTTCGGAAGAACAAAAAACATTTCTCTTATTGAGTTTTTTGTTGTTGTTTTCTTCTATCTTGTGACGTTCACTGCTGGTTCTGTTTTTGGCCTCGCTTGTTAAAACTGTTGAAACTGATTCAAAGCTGTGGTCCACATGAATCATGGTGTGTGTCAGAGGCTTCTCCTCACTGCCTCACGCAGATCATGAGCGGTGGGAGTCTGGGCCCCTGCCTTCGCGGCCCAACTCTCCCGTCTTGTTGCTTCTGCGGCATCTCAGCGCCACCCAGTGGGCAGAGCCTGAAAGTCCCACACACACCCGTTTCTTGAAAACTGGCAGCAGCTGATGTTTTGCAAATTTATTGTGATTTATTGTTTTATTATTTATGTTGCTATTTCTGCCATCACCTTACAGAGCGCAGGTCACGATTCATCTGAAATGGGGACACAAATAGCACTCGGCGGGAAGGCATCACCGTGGCACTGGTATGAGATTACAATATTATCTATCATTGATATTATTGATAATGAAACCAAGTGGATCACTCTGGGAAGAGAGGAAAATTGAACCTGAGTGTCTGTCTGTCTGGTGGGCTGTAATCCCAGAGTAGAAGCTCTCAACCACAATGGTGTGAAGACTGGTGGGGGGAATGAAAGTTAAAAATCTCTGTAAGTGCTATAAATTAACCCCAAAAAATTTCCATTGATTTGATAAACACTTGTTCTCTTTATTTGCTGAATAAACAGTCCATAAGAAGCAATACAATAATATATTTGTGGTGAATAAACAGGTTTTTTGCCCCCACACCCCAAAAAAAGAAAAAAAAAAACCACTGCAACATATATTGGATTGCCAGGTTAATGTTGGCGTACATGTACAATCAGGCAGCATCTTGTTTCAATTTTAGCATAGGTACAGACACATGGAAAAAGTTCCTACAGCAACCACTGATCCACATTTCACTTTACTACATAAAAGATGGTTATGAAACAGAGAGGAAACATTTCAGACAGCATGAAATGCAGCAATTACATCAACACAGTTGCTTTCAAAAGTGGACACACCCGTGTTAAAACTGACCCTGTGACAAAAACATTTGAAAACTCCTTTCTGTCATAAGTGCAACATTTTTATTATTATTTTTTCACAAATCAACTAACGCTGCAATAACGTGGCTACACCAACGTGCACTCCCTTAATCTAATACTTTTTCATTTTGAATAGTCAAACAGAATCAATTAATCCGCCACGTGCCATCAGTTATTAAAGAGGATCTGGTGATGCAGAAATAAATGGATTTAGAGCCTTAATCTAAAGCCACGGTTTGTAGAGAGAATGAAAAGGCCCAAACTCATAACAAGCACTAGTTATGTTGCGCCGTCTGACGTATTCTCGAGATGTTTGGCCAAATATTGGAAGACGCAAGGCGTTTTCCAAAGATCACAAACATTGTGCTACTTCTCTTCATATGTTTGTCAGGGTGGAAGAAAACAACTAGTTCAAAAATAAATCTAACAAAGACAAAAAAATAAATAAATCTGTTCTGTGACCTGATAGGTTTGGATAACTCTTGCAGGTATCAGCACAGTTAAGACAAAAGGGAATGTTGAAGTTCAACATGCTTATTTCTTCACTTGTTGTCCTTTTTTGGTAATTTTTAATTAGTTTTTCATTTTTACAATTTAACTTCTATGTCCCACTTCATCTTCTGAGTATTATTAGCCATTTATTTTTGGTATGTACTATCGTACTCCTTTCAAAAACACGTAATATGAAATATTATGTATTATTTTACATAAAACCAGTAACATAAACCAAATCTGGTCATTTCAATTCATATTACTGCTTTGGAATGTGAATATTTTCCAGTGCCGAATGGGGAGAGTCTGTTACGGGGTACCTGAGGTATCCACAATCGCCAGGTCCTTGAGGTCACTGAGTTTCCTGGAGAAAGAGCTCAGCCTGGTGCTGAAAGAACCTCGTTTCTGACTGTGCTGATCCCTGCGGGCCTCCAAACAAGCACACAGGTCTTTGCAGAGACCCCCAAGGCGACCGCGGAAATGGTTCCCGACAAAACAGTAGAGCACAGGATTGATGGCTGAGTTGGAGAAGCCTAGGCAAAGAGTGAGTGGGGTCAGGTTGGTGATGGTCCAAGTGACCCAGCAACTGTCCAGCCATCCATTTTTACTCAAAAGATCCAAGAAGGTCACACAATGAAAGGGGAACCAGCAGATGAAGAAAGCCATGACCACAGCAGCCACTGTCCACAAAATCCTCTCTACCCTGCGGGTCATCATGGGTCCGGTCGTGCTCGAGTTTGGGTACACAGTAGGAGTCGGCGGACGTTCTGATTTACAACGGCCCGCTTGAAGAGCTGGGGAATTTTGCGTTCTTGCTGATCCTCTGTAGGCCAACAAGTGCTTCCCAATGGACCAGTAGCAACAGGAGATGCCAAGCAGTGGCAGCAGGAATGCCAGAATGATCTTCATCCAGCTCAGGGTCAGAAACCAGGTGTCATCTGGATAAAAGACCACACAAGCCACAACATCCAACTCTTTAAGATGATAGGTCTCTCTGAAGGCCAAGTGGGGGGAAGAGCAAGCCAACGCCAGGAGCCATACCAGGATGCACACGATCCGCGCTCGCTCGTAATCCCTCGACCTCTGCGAGAGGAGAGGATGCACGATGGCCAGGTAACGGTCTACGCTCATGCACGTGATGAAGAAAATCGACGCATAGAGGTTGAGGTTAAGGAGAGCACCGCAGATTTTGCAGGCCACTCGTCCAAAGGGCCAGCTGTAGCCCCAGGAGTAGTAGGCGGCCCACAGTGGAAGAGTCAACAGGAACAGCAGGTCGGAGACGCACAGGTTCAGCATGAAAGTGTTTGCCACCGTTCTCGTCAAGGCGTTGCCACAAGCCAACACATACACCGCCAAGGCGTTGCCCAGTGTACCCAGCACACAGATGACGCTGTAGATGGTGGGGATCACTGTCGTCATGGACACTGGAGACCAGTCTTGGCAGCGGTGAGCAGCAGGAACCGACGAGGTGTTCACGTAGACCTCTGGAAACGGGGAGGATGTGGAGTTGAAAAAGAGGAGGCCACTTGGGATTGCCATTATGGAACTAGATGTTCCCTTGTGTCAAAAGGCTTGACTTCAAATTCTTTCAGATTTCCAAGGTCAGCTGGAAATAACACGAAGCAGGAGAGAGTTCAGACCACGGCTGCCTTTTACGGACAGCTATGTTTCCCTACATTGTAATCTTTAGTTGGCGCCATGGTTTATTAGCTGTCCCGTTTGATAAAGAATTACAGAAGGAATTCATTACACAATGCTTGAAGTTAAATCGTAATAAAGTATCTTGGAAAAGGTTGTATTAATCTGGCTGCCTATTGGGTTGCTGTGAAACAGCTTTATTGTGTTAATGACTGAATTCATCAAACATTCATGGCTTCAAATGAAAAAAGAGCCAGTTTAATTTACGATTTAATAGGTTTACAGAAATAATAACAATCCCAGAAACCGAAACTATTAAAATGGAAAACACAAGGGGTGAAACTAATAATTAATGAAGAGTTTAAAAGCAGCCATTACAATTTAAGAAAAAAATAAAAGAAGAAATTACTTTAGGAAAAGTACTTTTTCTAATGAAAATTTAACTGGTAATTACGATAAGACAGCTGAATAAGTGATAGAAACATGATACTATAGATTTTCCGGTGCCAGCTCTGAAATCAGACAAAGCTTGGCAAAGGCTTTTATTGTTTCCGTCCTGGAAAAACAAATAATACTTTACCTGAAATGACCGAGGGTCCAGCAGAAAAAGCCAAGAGCTTTTCAGTGCTTCTTTTGGCTAATGTCCATATCTAGACAAATGTTGCTCGACCCCTCTAAGAGAGTTGCGCCCAGCCGAGTGCGCTGGACTGTATCGTGCCTCTCCGTCAGTCTGGGCGTGAGCAGAGGGAGCGGATCTGAGGCTCTGAGAAACCAGATGAGGACGGGGGTCTTATAGCCCCTCCGAGAGCCTCCTGACGATTGCACAACAGGGAAGTTGCTGCACGTCACACCTCAGTTACTGCGGAGAAGAAAAGTCGCTCTCTTGGCTTTATAATGTTTCCCTCTTTGTCCTCTACCTCCCCCTTCCTGGAGCCTCAGTCGGAACAAGCCAAACTTAGGAAAATCAAGTCAAGATGTGCATTGGTTCAACAGCTGCAACATGGGACTCAAACACACGAGCTCTAAGTAGTTGCAGGTGGGCGTTTCGTGGTGTCAGATCTAAAGGCCCAACCGTACCTGTCAGGACATCCAGACCTGATCAAACGCAGGCGGCTGGTTTAATTAGAAGAGCCTCACATCCTCTGTGGCTTTCTGTCTGCCAGTGGTCAGATAAGCCATGAGAAATATTTACTCTGTCTCAGCGGAAGTCAAGCCAGCTACTGGGACAGGAGTGAGAAGGCAGGGAGGCGCAGCCTGGGAGATGAATGAGGAGGAGGACACCCTGGAACTGCAGGGAGGGAACGAGATGATGAGAAGGCAAAGGGAAGCAGAAGCAGAGACTCCCTCCAGCGGGTTTTCATTAAAGCCTCCGGTGAAAGTTGATGAGGGATGCATCCAAAGCCCCGAGACTGATTGCATCACTCCTCCTTTGATCAACAAGCGTGTGCTTAATCTCAACCTGATTAAATCAACGTGATCAAATGTGTCGTTCACGTGCAACGCGATCCATAGAGAGCGTACGCGAGAAGCCGTGGGAAAGTTGACGGCGAGGGTGAAGGATGGACGTCATGCAATTCCGACGGCGAGGACATGAGAAATCGGGAATGTGCTGCGCGTCGCGGAGCTCTTCAGATTGAAATGTTACGCTCTCCGAACCAAAAACAAGTCAATAAAACCATATTTTCCCCCCTCTGACATGCTGGGTATGCTCAGTTGCTCTCACACACTAAGTGAGGGATCTCACGCAAATATGCAAAAACAACACGCGTTGCCCGTGAACCCCCGATTTCACCGAACGTCGCATTCAAATGTTTCTCTTCAAACCAATCGAAGATCAGGCATACAGAAACACACAGAGACTGGCAGAGGCCAAAGGTTTTCAAACTAAAAACAGAACGTCATGGCGGGTTGCAGGCCAACAGAAACAGCAGATAAATAAGGCAAAACGAGAGAGAAAACCCAACTGTGGCCGTACCCTACAGTACCTCTGCGATGTAAAAGATCCAGTTACCTACTCACATAAAACACATTTCTGGAGACAGAGACGTCTCACTACCTGAATGGAGAAACACTCGGGCCTGATTGTTATGCTTCGTGTCCATGGCGTCTGCAGCAGACCCCACATTCTCTCTGCATACTTGTGCAGATAACCTCAGAGCTCTCAGCTGTGCAGCACAGAGCACCAACCAGAGAGATTCATGATGCAGGAGAGCTCCCCTCTGAGCCGGTTCTGCCCAAAACTGTCGTCTAAACGTTGCTTAGCAGTGACCCAACGTAGATCAACGTTGCTCTTTTAAGGAGTATTTCAAAAATAATCTAATCAACAAACATTTTATGGGCTATTTTCTCCCTGTTTGGGGATATGACATATTACTGACATATAGAGAGTTTTATTTTGAAGAGTTATTTTTGTCTTTTTCACCCATTGTTTTCACTGGTTTTGTTCCACAACCTGTAGTGATTAAATGGGTCACAAGAAACAAACCAGTATATTTTTTCATTAATTAGCCAGATTATGTTCATAGAGAACTTTCCATGCTATCAACCATCAGACAAACATAAGAAGATGTTATAATTATCATACAAATTATTGACGAGTTTTGTTTCAGTGGTTCTGTGAAACGTTCAGTTTCTAAATCTAATCTGTGATACTCTGGAAAGTAAAGCTTTTATTTTGAAAAGTATCAGTAAATCCAAAATTGCTAACCCTTTGGACTTCTGGTTTAGGCTCAGTAGTTATATGGACTTATTAATGATTCATAAAATGTTTGTTTAACATATTTCTAACCTTACGTTTAATTAAAAACATATTTGCTTTATGTGTACTATTGTGATACACATGTAATATTATTTTAACAACATCTTTTTATGTTTATTTTAGGTTATAAAGTTATTAGGTGATGTCGTGATGACACGCTAAAGGCAGAATCTTCTTAAAGAGACTGAAGCATCGAGGTAATTCGAAATTGGGCCTCTGATACATACATTTATATCTGATAAATATATCAAACATGACTTTTAAGTCGACACTATGAGCCTGGAAAATGCATAATACTGTAAATTGAATCTTTTTGCAGGTTTTCTAATTGAGATCCAACATCTCATTTGCATGGGAGACCTGTTGAGGCTTCACCTCTTGTTTTAAAAAGTATCTGACTTTATTTATTCAAAGTCCAACTCAACATCCTGTTGGTCCAGGATTTAAAATTAACTCTAGAAAAACAACAACAACAAAAAAACAACATACAAAAGACAGCCTTGTTTTTTGAGAATCTTTGGAAAATAATATCTCTGTAATTGCCGCAGGTCTATGCATTGCTGTGGCAAATACGCAAGTATTAAACCCATTTGTGAATGGAGATCAATATGTACCGCCGTACAGGAAATCAGGACGACTCCTCCGACCCGTGTCAGCACTTTGAGTGGCAGCCTCCCTGCATGCAGCCGGATCAATTAAACCGGCCTGCAGAGCAGAGCGGCTTCCTTTGCAGCTAATCTCAAGAAGGGCGAATTACGAGCCTGAGAGATTAACAAGTCGGATGGTGTGTGGGAGAGAGTGTTTATATGCGTTTGCCTGATGACCCGAACACATGGATGGCTGCAGATACGGAGGGCAACAGAGCAGAGAGCGTCAACCCCCCAACGTCTCCCACACCGAGGCCCCACTGGACATCCGGATCCCTGCTAATTATTTTTTTACAGTTTCTGGATTAAAACTATCACGCGTTTCTTTATTTCATGCCCATCGTTTCGTCAAAGGTTGCTGCTTCCTGTGGGCTTTCACAGAAAACAGGAGACAATTGTAGCTTAAGACTCGCTGTTGAGAAAAACTGAAAGTTTTAAGGCTGATATATCAGAAGCATTTATTTTTGACTAATGGCAGAGGGATAATTACTGTTTTCAGTCTGTGAACCACAAAGTAGTAGCACATAAATCAAGCACACAAAATAAATTCAGCGTTTTCGGCTCAGGCTCAAACATCTGTTAAAAAATAAAAGCTAAAAATATTACATTGAACTTGCATAGCAGTGAAGTGTATAAAAGAAACAGTCCAAAGGTAAAAGGTTTATGTACACGAGCAAAGAATATGTGCACCAAGTGTATCATTATTATTATTTAGACTCTGAAATATTTGTTGATTCTTGCAAACTGGCCAGAAAAGGTTGGGGAAAAAAATGCAAAAACACAGAAACCTACCAAGTAATTTAGTTTAATTTCTAGTGTAAATATCTTAGTACAGTTAAAACGAGACAAAACTTGCAAGTAACTTTTCAGTAAGATATAGGAGCTTGTTTCACATCAGTAACTCCTTAATATTGATGAAACCGTTGCAGTTCCATTGGCAGATCATCTGAATTTATGATATCCTGTTTCAAGTGTGCTAAGATATTTGCACTAGAAACCAGAACAAAATTACTTGGTACGGTTTTGTGGTTGTGCAGTGTAGATATATATGTAAAAAAAAAAAAAAAAACTTTTAATCGGATTTAGATCTTGGCTTTGACTGGGCCGTTTTATAAAAGGAATGTGCCTTTATTAAAACCGGTCCAGTGCAGCTCTGAAGCCCCCATTGCGTTTTCTTCCCGTTTCCACTGCAAATGGCTCCATCGCATCTTCCCATCAACTCTTCTTTGTCCCTGCTGGACATGATCCTACCACCACCATGTTTCACACTGTGAAAGATGTTTAGTTTCAACAACAGCTTTTTTTGCTTTTTTTTTTTTGGCTCTTTGCACGAGACCTTTGCAGTCTCGTGCAAAGGTCCTCTCCAACATGATCAAACAGAAGAGGAAAAATAAAGCAGGCAAGTGGGAGGTGCCCCTGCCAAAGGTTCGCGCTCAAGGAGCGACAGAAGTTCTTAAAGTCATCCGAACAGGAAAGAGACAAATGATTTGAAGCAGTTTGTTTATTAAGATATTTGAAGCAGTTTGTTTATTAAGATTTTCAAACAAGCTTTGGATTTTCAGCTGTACATTGAATACTCAGCCATACTTTTATCTGTTGGTTTGCCGCCTAAAATCCCTTTCAAAATACAAGAAAGTTTGTGGCTATCATGTCAAAATGGAAGAAAAATTGCTATGATTTTTTTGTTGTTGTTTGTTTTGTTTTGCAAGGCGCTGACCATACATGGGAAAAAGAGGAGTGAACTGTGTTCATGCATTTAACCAGTTCAAATGAGAGGGAGATGTGCCTAAACAATCATATACCATATTAACAAACACCCTTAGTCGGCTTGCATAACTGATGTGTTTATGTTTGTGGCTGATAAATGCGCTGTGTGTTTATTCGGTGGTGGGGGACCCTGAGAAGATAATCAGCTCTAACTGAAAGCCTCCTAAAGTCCTGCATGGAAAATTCAGCTCTTGGGGTCAAAGGTCTAGAGGTCAGAGTTGCACCACCCCTACGCTTCCTCTCTTCTGGTGAAAAATATATATAATTTTTTTTTTATTATTAAAAACACATGACAGAGCCTGGTTTTAATGTTGGCTCTGAGAATATTGTTTCTGGGGCGCCTTAACGAATGGACAGGACCCTTGAGAGAGGTGAGAAGAGGCTGAAGTTTTCTTCACATGCTAGCTAACTTTATTTTCATTAGTTAAAAGGGGCTAAAGGTAGCTTCAAATACTAGACAGTTTAAGCATTTTGGGAGATTTACGTTGAGGTTGTATTTACATGTTAGCTAATTTAGCTTCTTTAGTGAGAAGGCACTAAAGTTAGCTTAATTTGTTAGCTAATTTAGCTTTTTTAGTGAAAAGAGGCTAAAGTAACTTTCGATGCTAAAGTGAGAAGCCGCTAAAGTTGGCATCACATGTTAGCTAACTTAACTTTCTCCAGTGAGAAGACACTAAATTTAGCTTCACATGTTAGTTATATTTAGCTTCACATGTTAGTTATATTTAGCTTCACATGTTAGCTATATTTAGCTTCACATGTTAGTTATATTTGAGAAAAGGCTAAAGCCTTTTGACATTGAGGCCAGTTTAATGTAACATAATCCGTGTTCATGACGCGATGTGAGAGGAACACGTCACTTTCTAGCGTTCCCTTCTGACATCTTTTTTTAAGAGACATTATATTTTATGTGGTTTTAGCAATGTTACACAACTGTTTCTGTTTAAACCCATCCTTAAGCAGAACATTTGGTACTGCTTATCAGGAAAAAGAAAACAAACAAAAAAAACAACCACAATTGCACCCAGCCAACAAATCCTTCACACACACACACACACACCCCTCCCCCCGTGTCTCCGCTGCCACAGAAAGTGTCGTTCCCTCGGGTGTACTACCAGTGCAACGACTATTTCTTAGTGGGGTTTTTTTTGTGTGATTTACCCACATGTGAGCCTTCACATAGTCATACACACATAGTCCCCAGGGTCATGGCGCTGGACAGACTTATGGAGAGCTTGTGAGGTCCAGTAGTACTGTACTGGTTCCTCTAAGGAGTAATAAAGGGGCCATAAAGAGTTGGACACCATGTTCCCTCTGTACTGGAGTTTTGCTCGAATCATAAACAGGTGGTGCTAAAAGTTTAACAAAGGAACACAGAACATTTCCTCTTGTTCTCAACGAGACCCTTTCCATGACTAACGTTAGATTTCCATGTAGTGTAACTGGTGATTTAAGGTTCTACGAAGCCTTTTTTTAACTTCATGTTTGGGAAACTTGGGGGTAAAATTTTCATTTAATCAGCATTTCGTTCACACGAGTCAGTCTCTGGGTTGGTCCAAGTAATGAGTACAAGGCAATGTAGGCCATATGCGAACAGCCATTTTATGGTTGAGCAATACGACTTCGGCAGTGTTGGCATAATGGTTATTGATGTTAGCGTAACAGCCTTAGCAACGTCCTCAACCTCTCAGTTGATGTGAAGCAAGCATGAAAGGGCAAATGATGATCATCAGGAGAAAACAATGTAGCTGAATATGTTGAGGAAAATGATTTTAGCAATAAAGTTTGGAAGGGGATTTTACAGGTGCTAAATCTCTGACTTCAGAGAACTAAAGCAAAACAAACTTTTTCACCTGCACAACCATAAATCTAATGTGACAGATGAAACATCCACAAAGTAGCGTGTAACAGTGACGTGGAAGAAATTGGGTAAACGGCTTGTTTATTTCTTTCAACTAAAAAGCTGGACAAATGTGATGTACATGTGTTTCCCGACCCATTGAAGCAATATTTATTGATTTATCTTTTGCTACAGCGTTCAGCTGAGTCGCTGGGCCATTCCAGAGCAGAAATATGCAGCAATATATAAACAATAATAGCTCTGGCTCTATGTTTATATTTGCTGAGGCTGTTGAAAGATGAACTTTGACCCCGGTTTAAAAACAGCTGCAGCGTCCGAAATGGGTTCCTTCCAGGGTGGATTTGTGTTTTGCTCCATCCCTCTTCCCATCAACTCTGACCTGGTAAAGAAAAGCGTCCTCACAGCAGGGTGCTGCCGCCGCCGTGTTTCATAGTGGACGAGAGGCGACCTTTAGGAATAAGACTGACTGTTCCAGGTCACACGTTTGTTCGGAGTCATTTTTAGCCTAAACACCAATGATAGGAGCAGGAACAACTCCTGCTCGTTTGGATCAGTTTTGTTTTTTTAAATAATATACTCAGTTTAATATACTTTAAACCGTCATAATCAAATTTACGGACTGCATTTCGAAGGAGTGTGTCCTTCGAAATGCATTATGTTTGTTGGTTTATCACATTAAATCCTAATAACACGTTGAAAAATTATGTCTTAAGGTTACAAAACTCCAAAAAGTACAAACACCTTTGCAAAGCTCAACATATGAATCATTCGTGGGAAATATATTTGTATTCAATTACCCCCCAAAAAATGCAAAACTATTTAATCATCTAGTCCAGATTAAAGCCATGAAGGGAGAAAAAAAGTTATCAAAATAAGTTTAAGATTTTGAACAGGGTCTTTTTCTGGCCTCTATGAATGCTCAGAAAATGTTAAAGTTATATTTTGTTAAATTAAAAAAGGCTAATCTAATGCAATTTTGAGCACAAATTATTGTCAAAAAATCTGTTAAATTCATAGAAATGCATTCATGTTTTGCAGCGCATTTAAAACACAATTCAACACCAGTTCACAAAAAAAAATAAACATTTATTCTGAGTTCCTTAACCATCCATCTGACAGTGCGGAGCAGCACAAGTCCTTGTATGTCTGAGAGGAAGATTTAAATTGACAAAAATGGCCTGGATCACAATAAATAAGCGGCACTTCGCATAATTGATGGTTGGAAAACTCCTGCGCGTTTAAACAGAAACTGTTCCACATTCTGCCATTTTCAATGTAATTGTGGGTGTTTTCGTTTTTTTTTTTTTTTTGTTTTTTTTTTCCAGGTTTCTCTGCGTTTGTGTACCGAAGTTCATCACAGTGCAGCGCCGGCGGCCGACTTATTCTGATGTGTTTTGTGAAAACGTGTGCAGAGAAAACAACAAAAAAAAAAAAAAGAAAACTATGAGAATGAAAACGTCTGATGGTGAATCTGTGGAGGCGCTCCGCGGCCGGCCCGTCGTCTCAGCTGCGTGTGCTGTACAGGTCTTCGTCTTCGGGGCTGGACTGGCCGAAGTCCATGAGAGCGGGGTCCGACTGGAAACCAGAGCCCTCTGCGGGGAGGAGAGAGAGACAGAGACACATGGAAAATCTCTCACACAGAAAAACGCCACCGAGCAAAATTAGTGATCGTTCTGAGAAGAGCTAAACATAGAAGAGCCAAGCCGCAGCATCCTGCAGGCTTATCTCTCATCGTATGAGAAAATGCAGCCGGCTGATGATGGCTGAGTCAGTAACTAGGATGCATAAGTAGAAGCAAGTGGAAAAACTGGTTTTGGTAACAGAATGAGATTTTCTTCTGAATTGTGTGGCCTCACAGCCTACGCAGAGAAATGGATACGTCAGAAAACTAATGAAGTGCATTAGTTAAATCGCTTAGTGAGGCGTCGGAAGGGGAGTTTTGGCCCCTGATTGTTTATTATTGTCAGATTAAACGAAAGCATGTGTCAGAGAAAAGAGCGCCTCGGTTTCTGTAGTGAAAACGGCTGAGCTCATTCTTCGAAAGGAAATGGCAGCACCTCGCAAAGGTGACCTTTGAACTTCCACACAGTTTCTCGTCGTGCAACGACGAAGCATCTCGTCTCAGATTCTAAGAGCGGCTCGAATTAGAAACTCTTCATACAAAAATAAGGATTGCTTTGTTTTTATCATGCAACTTTGTTCTTGACTAAATGAACCTAAACTGAACGTGATGTTCGGATTTTTTTTACTCTACACAATCTGATCAAAATCGGTGCAAAGATGCACAAAGACAAATCTTATGCTTAGATTGAAGCCTTTGTGTTGGGCCAGGGGACAGTCGGTCCTGGAGGGCCGGCATCCTGCGTGTTTCAGTTCTCTCCCTGGTGGTACCGACCACCTCTTCAGCAGGTCCATGTTCTTCTTAGGCCTTCTGGTGAGCCATCGTTGGATCCGGGTGTGTTAAACCAAAACAGGCAGGATGCCGGCCATCCAGGACCGACTCTGGGCAAAACTGGTTTAGGATGTCCTAGTCAAAGTCCAGATGAAAAATTTGTGAAAAGCCTTGAAATCGTTACGTTCAGAAATGTTCTCCACCGGTTCAGACTGAGCTGAAAACAAAGCAGTTTGGGTACAAATGCATTCATCTTTTCGATTTTTTTGTCTTCATTAAAAGTTAATGTGCTTTTCTTCCACTGCACAATCACTTTGCGACATAAAATCCTCCTAAAAACACTAAATATTGTCCCTGTAATGGAAAAAAAAGTGAAAGTTTAAAAAAAAAAACAATTTTTATTTCCCAGCCTGTTTGACATAATTTCTGCCACAGATCCCAGTCAGTGGAGTTAAACCTACCTGCTCTGCTTCCCTCTGCAGGCTGCTGAGGCGGCGGCATGACGGGGGTTGAGGTTGGCGTCTCCTCCGCAGCAGGAAGCGGCTGCTGCTCCTCCGCCGATTCAAACTCAGCTGCTGATTCCACAGCGGATGCTGCAAGAACACAAAAATTGGAACACAAAAATTCTGTAGTGCACAGAATCTAAAAGCAGAAAATTGTGATTGTGTGAAATGAACAAGTTGTCTCCAGAGACGGCGTTTCTACTGACCCGATGGCAGGTTTGCTTCGTCCTGGACGGCCACCGCTGGCGTCGCCTCGAGGGAAACGTCGTCTGAGGCTCGGTTTCCTTCCGCGGCCGCGTCTCCGGCGGGTCGAGACGGTTCTGTTTGCTCTGACTCCAAATGTGCTGACCGACCTGGACGAGAGAGAGAGAGAAAAACCTCACAGTTGCCAGGAGGGCATAACAAACGGAGGGACACAGCAGCAGACGGAGCAGAAGCCGTGCCTGTCTCTGCTGGAGATATTTCTGTGAGCGCCACCGCCGGCTCTTCAGTGACGACCGGCGGCTCTTTGGTGACGACCGGCTCGTCAGAAACGGGAACGGACTCGGCCAATTCCACCTCTGTCTCCAAAACGACAGCGCTTGTAGCCAAGAGGTCGGGTGTGGAAAGGTCGGCTGAGGCCTCCTCCTCACGCAGAGTCGACTCTGATTCGGCCTCTGAAAGAGCCTGAGGCGAGAGCAGGAGAACGTGGAGAGTTCACACCGCAAAACCATCGCAGGACAGACTGACGGCTATGCTTTAACTAGGACATGTTTGGTTAAAAGTCAATCAGGAGACTCCAGAAAATAATAATGATTTGATCAGTCTGGATATTTTGGCCAAATGATGAAATCTCCACCACAGTGAAGATCCAACTTAGACTCTATTTTGAAAAGCCAATTCTGTTTGCCCTTCATTATTAGTTTCATTAACGGTTTTGGTTGCGCGTAGATTTGATTTTTGTTCTATGTCTTGGTTCCAGTCGTTTTTTTTCTCTTCATTTATGTTGGATGTTTTCTCTTCCGGTTCTGGCGTTAAGCATCCTTCACTAAGTTCGTTGGACTTTGAGCGCCAACCTGCATTATTCTACCATCATCACTGTATTCACTGTATTACTTGGGGAAAAAAAAACGTCTCAAAATTATTCTCTGTAATAATTTGCTGCTGCAATAGTTTTACATACATTCGTTCAAATTTGAACCTTCTTGGAGACGATCCCAGCAGCTTTTTTCCCTCAGTTCAGCTAAAATAAATTTATTTAGAGCTTCAAAATATGTATCTATATATTTTCTTTTACAATATCTGCTCTAAATATTTTGGTTAAATTTTTCAATGTAACAAACCAAAAGCCATTGCGGTGTTTCTTTTCTTTAATGTTCAATTTGCACCAAAAGCAACGTGAAAAAGTTTCAGATGTGGGCAGGAAGACTCCTCTAGTGGTCTGTGTTACAGCACCTGACTAAGCCTCTGACTGAAAGCGTTCTGTTGTTGAATAAGAGTCTCATGAACAGGGATATTCGTAACGTTTTTCGTTTTCACCACTGGAAGCTGACAGAACTACAGCATGATAGAGACTATATTAATAATTATTGTTGGCAATTAATGCCAATAATACATCGAGAAAAAGTGTAACTTTGGATTTATATACGTTTAATTGTTTTGAAACTTCTTTTTATTTCCTCGTCGAGATCTAGATTTCATTTTCAAGAGGGACCTGGACAATACACGACAACCTGGTTGCGAAAGAAAATGAATACATGAGCACAAGTATAAAACAATAGAAAACTATTTAAAAGCAGCGACGCTGTTTAAGAAAATCTCGTTTTTAAGAACCACTTGAAGTAAAGCCAAAATATCCAGCCTGATGAAAAGCTTTATGATTTATATAAGACAGAAAAAAAAGCGCTTTACTTATTAAACATTAGATAATAAACAGTAAGTTATCATTTTAGAGCGGAAAATAACTGCGCAGTATAAGCATAAAGACCTGATTCCCCAAAAATTACCAATAATCTATAAAAAGATCAAAGTACAAGTGCAGGAAATGGAATCTGAGGCATCGTGGCGATGACACACTGGGGATTTTTGTTCAACACATGAAGGAGGGAAGCAAGTCGTCCCTTTAAAGGTTGAGCCAGACTTTCTGGTTCAGTCACACTGAATCCACCACTCATTTCAATCCACTTTCCGTTTTGACCCTCGCCGTTTCCGACTGTTTCCAACCTGCGGTTGCGATGCGGCGGCCTCTTTGGTGACCGGCTCTTTGGCGACCGGCTCCCTGGCGGCGAGCAGAGACGACGCGGCGGCGCTGCTCCACTGCCCCGCGGCGTACACCTTCTGTCCCGTCACCTTCAGGGAGCGTGGGAAAGCAGAGGCATTACATCTGAAAATGACTCCCAAAACCCAGTCACAAAAAAATATATCTAAACAGACAGAAACAAATGCTACCTTGAGGACAGACACGGTTTGGGCCGGGTAGCACACCGACACCCCGGCGCTCATCAGACCCAACGGAACCGCTAACCTCTTGAAACTGGAGCCTGGAAAAGGTTGTTTTTAATTATTTTTAGGCTTTAGGTTCTTCTGTTGGGTTTCGTCTCACGCACGCTTTGTTTGACAAAACAGGGATCATTTCAAAGACGTTGTTTTCAACAACCCTTCCTCCTCACATCCTGTCTGAAACCAGCCGGCGTGCCAGAGACCTTTTCAAGGATGGAAACTTGTTTAAACGACTCGTGTTGAAGCCGCGTTCTTCAAGGAGAAATGATGGGGACGGAGAAAAAAAATTAAAAAGCACAAGCGTTTCAGCGAAAACTAAACCAGAGACACGACAGGCGCATGATCAGAAGCAGCTGCTGCGTTGTGCCTGCCAGTATGTTGCATGGTTACGTTAATTAGGAGAATTTATTACCTGATCAACGTGAAAAATAAACAGTCAATCCAGGTGATTGGTATCGGAATCGGCAGCAAAAAAAACCCTGATCTAGGCGTCCCCAGTTGGTGAACAACACTGGTATACCAACAAATACTTCACCAAGGGGGGTGAATACTTTTGCGCAGCACTTTTCAGTTTCTATTATTAGCAAAAAAATGTGTTGAATCGTGTGTGTAATTTTCTTCACACTTCAAAATTTTATATCACTTTTTGTTCCGATGAAACGTATTTATGTTTGTGGTTGTAAAGTCCCCAGGGTGTGAAAACTTTTGCAAGTTGCTATAAATGGATGGTTGGACATTTCCTCTCACTTCACTTTTTTCTGTTGATTTGATTTGTTTTGTTGTTTTTTTTTTTTTTGCTCTCTTTAGAGAATCAGAAGTGATGTGCTGGAGGACGTAGCGTTTTTCCTGGAAAAGACGTTTTAAGTGAAACTCCGGCTTCTGATCTCGCATCCGCTTTTTGGGAGACAAAAAAAAATCTAGATATATATACGAGTAAAAGCCTAGATTTTTTTCATCCTGTCAAGTGTACTTTAATACTTCTGTCTTTGACAGTTCAGGATGGAAAATGAGTGGCGGCTTTGGTTAAAAGAAGCTTTTCAAGTCGATGCCGTATCACCGTTTTCTGCCATTTTAAAAATACTGGTGGTGCGGAAACGGGAAACTACGTCACCTTTTCTGGCCAAGAACATGCCCAGCAGGCCAGCCATGGTGACGGTTCCAAATCTGGGCAGGAAACCTGGAGGAGGGTCTATCAAGTAGTAATAAACATCTAGAAAACAGGCAACATAAACAGAGACGGTTTAAAAAAGATGCAAGACTCAAACTCCTTACTCATTGTTGATTGAATGCAGCTGTTTTAGAACACAAACATGAACAATCAGAACAAAATCTACGGTCATGAGTGAACGCCTGCGATGGCCACTTGGGTATAGACTGAAAAAAAAAAAAAAAGAAAACAGCTAACTTGCTAGCTAGGAAGGATCTATCAGCAGCTAGTTAGCGGTAGCCACAACCACCTCAAATCCCAGGGAGCACAATGAAGACGTGTGGATGTGGCTCAAACTTTTGCCTGGCAGAAAAGTCGCACAAGAAGATGAAAAATGAAAAACTACATCTGTGAGACGACGTGCGGCTAAACGTCTATAAGCACACCTTAAAAAGAAAAAAAAAAGAACTGAAGTCATCTTACAGCCTTGATTTTTATTCTTTATGAATTTCAGGCTTTTTAAGGAACTGATCCTTCAACTTTGACCTCACGAACCATCTCAGTGAAGATTCGGGGGTTTTCCTCTCTTCTTGTCGTTTCCTGTATGGCTGTCATCTCTTCTCTGAACGTTTTGAACGTTTCTCTTGCCTTAGTCACATTTTGACCAGTCCGTGTTTTGATGCCACCACTGAAGCTCTTTGCAATACACACTTTTAAACGAGAATGTGTTACAACGAGGAGTAAACTGTGTTTATTCATTTATTCCTGTGTCTTTGGCAAATTTGGATTTTGCCAGCAAAACTCCTGCTGTGTTCAGCAAACTGGAACAACTACCAACACATGACTACATCCTGAGATGATTTATTGAAAATGACTCCAGAAAGTGTGTAATTTTGAGTATTTGGTGCCATTTGTTAACTTACCCTCTCCTGCATGGTAAAGATTAACACTACTCCGTTTTACAGAGACACAGGCGCCCTGTACGGAGAAATAAAACACTATAAAAAGGTCATCAAGAATACGGAACTGAAACAGACAAGATATCAATCAGTGTCGGGGTTTTCTGTTTTTTTTTCTTTTGTACAGCTCCTTCACAGAATCAAACTGTCAAATCTCCCCGCTGTTAACACAACAACAGCGAAAAAGAAAAGAACAGAAAAAAAAAAAATAGAGCACCATTTCCTGTCAAACTCCCGGTGCGCTCTGCAAACGTCATACCCGCACTTAGCACTTGCAGCTTCGTGGGATGGAGCGCTAACCGCGAGCAAGAGGAACAGAAATTAAAAAAAAAAAAATCAAGAGAAGGTGGCAGGGCTGCAGGTGCAAGACATGAAGCCTTCAGTGTGCATGAGGCTAATATGACACTATCGTTTAACACCTGCTATGAACAGGTGTTAACATTTACGAATGTTTATGTCTGAAGTGTCAGTGTCATGAAGTGTCAGTGGGTAAATAGAGACACTTTTAATGCAAAGTGGCTTTAAAAGTTGCATTATAAAGTCCATCAAAAGTGCCAACTTTGCATTACTTGGTAAATAATGACACTTTACTACAAAGTTGGCACTTTTAATGACCTTTTAAAGCAACTTTTTGGCCATTTTCATCTTTGTAATGGAAGAAGAATAGGATTCATTTCCCCAGAAGAAACTCAGCTCTAAATTTAGAGTCAAACTCTCTAGTTGAACTCTGACTTTTTGAGAGTCCTGCATGTCCACAAACACATTCTGCTCACTTGCTCAACCTCTCTCTCCAACGTATGCCTGGATGTTTCCTGCTATATTCCACGTTGCATAGCAAGAAACAGCAAAAGTACCTCTACGGCTCGGACCGCGGGCGAAACGCTCTCTCTGGCCGTCGCCAGCCCTCTCTCGATAAGTCCTGGACTTTCCACAACGGCCTTAGGCGGGTCAGCGCCGGGCAGCGGGGCGTAGATGTTCAGCTGGAGAGACACGGCGAGTTGAGACAAGACACACCGAGCGACACCGCCTCACGGCGATGCTGCGGGACGGCCAGCCGTACCCTGTCTCGAGAGATCAGCCCGTCCGCGGGAGCTTCCTTCACCCTGTACACGCGGATGGAGGCGATTCCCAGCACCGTGGGGACGGCCACCATCACCACCTGGAGAGGAGGGGGGGAGGATGAAACATCTCTTCTTTTTTTTGAAGGCAGCAGTTGCTGTTATCACTGAAAGACGAGCGACTGCTGTGATGTCTGAGTGGAAAAGGAAGACGACAGAGCAGGGGGAGAGACGGGGGGGACACTGGGGGCTGATGAGACAGAGGGGCACAAACGTTTTGTCCAATCAGAAGCAAGCTGCACTCTGCACATGCTCAGCTGGAGACAATCTATCTCACAAATGACCAAATTGCACAATTAGACATGATTTTTTTTTTGTCTAATTTTGTTTCACAGCAGCATATTTGACATTTACTCAAAGATTCAGTTGAATGTTCATAATAAAGTGAAACAACAGCACCAGGTCGCGCTGAAGCATCTCCCAAAATCGTCCCACGTTGTCGTCGTCGTAAATTTGTATGCGAAACCTGATGAGCGGTCTTTGAGATTCTGAATGGATCGTTTAAAAAAAAAAAAAAATGAAAGCACCAAAACGCCACACTTTGAACTTCAAGATTTTACCATGGAAACGCCTCTCTTTGTGTGAAAGACTAAAAGCTGCTTGTGCAAAGGAGTGAACATCAAAACAAACTTTGATCAGCTTCGCATCCCTTGTTCTGCAGGCCAGTTTCCCCCTTGTGGTGTTTTCTAGGTCAGCCTGCGGTTTGCAGGTTGCTCTCCTGTTTTGATCTGCTGTGTTTTATTTCTGCTGTCTAATGCTTGAGACGCAATTTGATTTTTTTTTTTTTTTTTTTAAATCGAAAGTCAGATACTCATGCCAAGAGGAAAATGATTCACAGGTGTTGCGAGGTACAGAAGGTGAGGTTTCATCGTGGACGATAGTCTCAGGTAAGCCTGACGGTGTTTCAGAACCAGAGAATATTACCAGCTCTCTTCTTTCTCTGCTGAAGATTGTAATTAATGTTTTGTAAAGAGTAAAAATTATATATCGAGGTGCAGTTTTGTTTAGAGACTTCCTTATATTTGCTGTTTGGCTTGTTTTACTTCACTTTTTATATTTGCATTTGAATTGAAAGATTATTGATCTCCGACAGAATGTGGTTGCATTATCAGGCCATTTCTTGAAAAGAATCTCAAAACAACATTGTGACAGGCCTTCCTAATATGACAACTCTTGTTTTAGATCTACTAAACCTTTATTAAATATGATAGATAAATATAGAGCCGTGCAAATGCATAAGAAGAGTCATTGTTGTATGATTATGTGTGGCTCATTTATGTAACAGCAGCTTATAATTATCATTTTTTTAAAAATCTGTTTTGACTCCCAAACAAGAATTCAAATATTTCTAGTTTAAAAATCAACACAGGCTTTATTGCATTACATTTTATTAATTCATATATATATCTTTTTTAATAACTAGTTGTTTTTGAAAAATGATTAGGTTATGTTTAAAGACTCATTTAGTTTCTGACACTAAATCATTTCTGTTGGTAAAAACCCCTGACGTCACAGCATTGAAAAAAAATGTAAACAACCGTTTGCTCTCCTTTTTTCCTTTACAGCCAAGCTAATAAAAGTCGCTCCTAATGTTGCCGCGCGTTCGTGAAAGGGGACAGAAAGTCGCAGAAACAGATATGACGCTCTGGCGGCTGTCGCGGATGTCTGAAAGGGATCTAATGCGGGAATATTATCCGCTTAAACCGAGACTCATCCAGCGACGCTCCGTTAGCTTCGGGAGTTACAGCCCAGTAACCGACGGCTGGAAGGCGGAAGTCACGTGATTAGCTCATTTAAAGCTCAACGCAGGACTAATATAGCACATGACGCACGCATTCATTGAAAAACACGCGGTTAAACGATGGAAAAACCTCCAAATAAAACACGTCAAACTTTCACCTTGGCCGCCATGACAGCGATCCTCCCTCTTCTTCGTCCAATTGAAACCGTCGCCGCTTTCAAACGGTCGGCTCCTGCCATCTGCTGGACAGAGGCGGCACCTGCAGCTTGGGTACTTCTTTTTACAACCGAGTCTCTTATTTCGAGGCGCGTTCACTGACGTGGCGGCATCGCAGTACCTTAGAATGTCACTGTAAAGTTAAATCATTCCTTTAATTTAATTCAGTAGGCACATATTACCTACACTCTGCACACAGAGTGATGTTTCAGGCATTCATTTCTGTTAATTTTGCAATTCCCTCTGCTGTCCTCTACGAAATCCAGAGCTCTGGATGCCTCTGCTGACAAACTTTACACACATGCTGACTTCATTTCCCAGCAGAGTTACCTCCCAGACTGGGTTATTATTACTATTATTATTTTGTGTGATATTATGCCTTTATGATTGGATGCTGCTTGCAAGTTATCAGTGCCAGTGACTGTGAATCCGCACTTCTGGCCATTATACTGCCACGCAACATGTCTGTTCATGAAGACTGCAATGACCTTTATTTCACCCGCCTTGTAGCAACATAAATCTCTGTGCCAGTTCAAAAGAAAGCTTAAATAGGATATAAAATAAGCACCATAAATAAATGTTAGTCTCCTCTTTCACCATCTGAACACAGGTTAGTGCCTTGTCCACATATGCAGTAGTGCTTGTGTGGATACACTGTCAAAAAAAACCTGCTTTAATGACGGTGATGTCACTATTTTTCATTGGCCTGCAAATTTATCAAACCAAAAACCCAATAGAGAATCTACAAGGTGTTATTATCAAGAAGAAGAGACAGCTGAGCCAGTAATGCCTCCGTGCTATGCCGCATTGATGCAGTAATTCATGCCAAAGGAGCCTCAGCTATGAAAAAATAGGAAAGTACACTGAATAAATGTTTCCCATCGTGCATTATTCTATATGGGTGATCTTTTTTGTCGTTAGTTTTATGATGTATGCATTTGTTTTTATTAGCTGGAAGCCACGATCATCAATAATAACAAAAATGAGTGGTTAAAATACATGTCAGAGCATCATGAACCTATGATGCACAAGTGTCACGTGTAATTTATGCAATTTTTCCCATCGCTGGCGTTGACACCCGTATACATCAGACACAGAAAGAAACAGCAGCTCGTAGTGCAGAGGATTCGGTTTATTGAAGTCAAAGTTTAACAACTTAGGTTTACAATCTGTATTTTCTGTAATATATATATATTTATATTTATTTATATTTATGTACTTTCATAAATATGAAATCAAAAAAGGCTACTTTAGGAAGAATAAATGTCATTTTTCTTTCTTTTTAATATCTTTAGTCAGTTGAATGTACAGAATAACAGTAAGCTAATATTATCCTTGAAAAAGAGCAATATGTTCCTTTTTTTATGTCGCAGTGCAACTTACATCTTACACACCTGTGCAATGTACCATGAGGCGTACACCCCTGAAAGAACACAGTGGAATCTCCCTTTTCAGCCTGTTTCTGCAGGTCTACACACACACGCACACACACACGCAAACACACACACAAAAAAAATAATAATAAATGCATTAAAAGAATCCTGGAGAGGTAACACAGTCAGTGTGTATGTCTACAGTTTGAGCTGGAGAGAGAAGACTTCGTACGACAAATCGAAGAGCGTGGGACTGCATCGCAGCTCGTTCGACGGCCGCAGACCTGGTGTGTGTGTGTGTGTGTGTGTGTGTGTGTGTGTGTGTGTGTGTGTCTGTGTGTGTGTGTGTGTGTGTGTGTGAGTGTGTGTGTGTGTGTGTCTGTGTGTGTGTGTGTGTGTGTGTGTGTGTGTGTGTGTGTGTGTGTGTGTGTGTGTGTGAGTGTGTGCGCGTGAGCATGTGTGTGTGAGTGTGTGTGTGTGTGTGTCTGTGTGTGTGTGTGTGTCTGTGTGCGTGTGTGTGTGTGTGTGTGTGTGTGTGTGTGTGCGTGGGTGTGTGTGTGTGTGTGTGTGGGTGTGTGCGCGTGAGCAACACTGGTGTGGTGAGAGACCTTTGCTGTCAAAGAGCGGATTTTGGGAGGCACAGGGAAAGTGCTTGCATCGTTAAGTTTCTTTGTGGCACTCATGAAATTAACCGTTGAAAAACATGAGCTGCGGCTGCGTTGGATATTTCACTTCACTGTTACATGACGAAAAAAATCCACTCAGAACCGACAGAAAGAAGAAGAAAAAACAAAACAAAGATCAGGACACTCGGTGGTTAGTGCTGGATGCAGCGGGTGCTACACATTGTTCAGTCTTGGACACTAGGGGGCACCATTGAGTCCTTGGCCTGATGTTGCAGATGAGGTGATTGGTACAGACCATTCCAGTGTGGTAGTCCCTCACCAGCCAGCATCAGCCACTTCCTCACAGGGATTCATAGGCAATTGCACTAATGTCTGCAGAGACAGAAACCTAAAAACGATTTTTTGAAGTGTCTCATAAAAGTAATAACACCCCATGAACCTTCTTGTGCTGTGTTTGCACATATATTTGACATTACAGTCAATAACAAGACACATTTAAAGCATTTCACCAGGATTTTTAACTCAGATGTATAGCCTAAAGTTAAAGGTGATCTATTGTGAGTTGTGATAGGTTTCTGGGCAACGCAAAACATTTCGATAACAAGATTTTAGTCTGCTCTGTTCTCTGGACTTTGAGCTCTTCTATGGCGTCTTGTCACTTTAAATCTAAATAAGCCCAACTCAGCATTTACACTTGCACCTAAAAATGGTTGCAAACAGATGCTCAAATATACAACCGCGCATTTTTGAAAAGCAGAAGTAGAGCCTCCTGCACAGACAACACGAATTCAGCAAGTTGTTTCTGAACGGCAAGTCGACAACAAAACTCTTGTGTTTTCCAGCAGCCATTGTACAGCGCACACAGCGGTAAAACCAGCTGACTGGGGCTGCTACCACACGTGGCCTTAACTATCAGGAGGTTATTTTCTAGAAATCGAAAAAGGATCATTGCCCCCAAAAAAGGCTGTTATTTTTTTGTTTTGTTTTGGGGTTTTTTTACAGTTTGTTTTATTTTTCTTTTCATTTTTAATTTTTTTTAGAAGCAGCAGAGACACGAATGGAAGTACAAAAATTCAGATATTATGCAAAATGGGAATTTCGCATAACAGATCCCCTTCAAGCCAAAACGTTGCCTGGTATAAAAATATCTTACACATAAAATTTTGCTCTGACAGCCCTAAAAAAAAGAAAAAAAAATCCAATCTGTTTTCAGAGGTCTATTAGGAAAAATGCCTGATAAAGACTCCAAAACACAGCAGAGAGGTTAGATATATAAAGAAGTCAAAAGCTGGGTTAGTTTTTAACTCGTGTAGCAGAACTGCAAAGCCACCGAGACACATTGATGGAGGAAGCAGCGGAGAGGCCCGTGGTAAACGGCTGAGGAAGATCTCCAGATATTCACAGCTCAGGCGAGAGAATTTGTGGAAGAATGGAGAAAAGAGAAAAAAGGCTGTTATAGAGCAAAATGAATTGAAATCAAAGCTTGCCACTGGCCATATATGGAAGAATGTTCTGTATTCAGATAAGACCAAATTATAAGTTGTTGTTTATTTTATCAGTCTTTCACGTCGGACACTGTGTGTGGCACAAAAATAACACTTGTCATGACCTCACATACGGTGGATCAGCAGTCGAACTGTTATTTGACTGCTGATCTCAGACAACATCGCCTTCATTTCCTGCATGACTTTGGTCTGTTTCCAAAGGAGAATATTATATTTATCTCAACATCCAGAAGAGTCCTGCCCACCAGACCTCATGGTGAAGCTGCGGCAAAGTGTCGACTTATGAGGGACGAAAGCAAAAGCCTGCCGTGTTTTTCAAATTTTATTTGTAAAAAAAATAATAATAATGAAAACTATATTAAACTATTTGTTTTAAGCAATAGGGGGATTAAAAATAGAATACGGTCCCAATTTGAGATTTTTCTGTTTTTTTTATTAAAGGCATTTTTCCATTGCACTTTATATGAAATTCATAAATCAAAATGAGGTGAATTGTGTTAATATTTGGGGTTTTTTTATGACTGTAAACAATAATTAAGTATGTGAAAAACATAAAGTTATGGAGTTTTGTACATAGGGGGGAATAACATGGGATTACTGCTCCTACCATGCATCAATTCATACCCGCCTGTTTATAAGCCTCACCTACAAAACCTATCAAGTATTAGCGTATTTGCATTAGTTGAAGAGTTTATTTGTGGTGGATTTGGCACCAAAACAGGCTCCAGCCCAGGGGCCTATTAGGCCCCTGGGCTGGCTCTGGCTCTATTACTTCAAATCCTAATTCAATACAGCGAAGTTTGAGGAATTGATAGAGACAAACTCAGAGTATGTTTATGGGGTGTGAATACTTCCAGGAGACACCGCAGATGAACCAAAACACGACAAACTGAATACAAAATTCAACATCTGCATGACGTCGAAAGAGCTGAGCAGCAAAAAAGAAATATCACCTTCGGACGTACAGTGTGTGTCTTTAAACCGTATGCAATGAAAGAAAGATTTTGAAAATATGCGTTATCAAAAAACCAAAAACAAACCAAAAAAAACATCATTTTTGCATGTATCATGCGCTACAGGACTAATAAATAAAAAAGGAAGAGAAATAATCCACAGTATTTTTACCCTGTCCCACTCTAACCAGTCCCAGACCTTTTCCTCATGCAACACATCGCCGAGAAATAGACCGGCTGTGAGTCGAGCCGGCACAGCCGCTGCCGAGCGGCCCTGTGGGGAGAGGAGGTGGAGGGCGGGGCACTGCAAAAAACCTTGGCGTAGAATACATCTTACTTTACATTATATCTATGACACAAAAACGTAAATAGATTTATATATTCTCCTCTAGGCTTAAATACATCTGTAGACTGTACACGAGTCGTTAGAAAATGAGACGGCAAACGCTTTTTACCTGATATCTGAACAGCAATGGGAAGGAGGCCGATGTGATGGAGACCCTGTGATGCAGGCGATGGGACACAGAGATATAGAAAGTGCATTCTTTGTAGTGAGTGACTTCTTTGAAAAGAGAACTCCTTTGCTCTTGCATTGAGTGGAAAAAGAAAAACAAAAGGTAAAAAAAAGAAAGAAAAGGAAAAAAAAACACAAAAAAAAGTAGTCTTGCACCCACACTAATAGAAACGCCGTCTCTCTCCGCTACCTCTAGAAGCGTATCACAGTGGTAGTGGAACTCGAACATTTACATCAGTATTCACATTTACACAAGTCTTTTTGAGAACTACTTGATAGGGGAGATGGGGGGGAGAAGAAGGAGAAAAACAAAAGAAATCAGAGGGCGCAAAAACCGGGATTGCATTTGAACAGAGGAGCCTCCTTCTGCAAGGACGTCTGAACACTTCACAGTTTAAAGGAGCGTGCTTTGTGGCCGGCACAGTTGTTGCTTGATGCTTAATTTCATGGGTTCCCAGAGAAACAGCTTTACAAAACATAAAATAAAACTAAATAAATAAAGAAAGAAACCACGTTGCGGTCTTGACACCACAGCTCCCGTTCTCACAGTTTCCCACGAGAGATCAGCCTGAAATACCCGCGATTTCCCTGTAAATCAACGAGATATGCCATGAGAAATAAAGAAAACAATTTTTAGAGAAAGGGGGAGAACTGGTGGCTCTGGGTGCAAAGTTCGTCAGTAGAAAAGTACAGTGCTGTGGTGAAAAGGTTTCTCGTCTGTATTGCTGCTACATAGCCTCCCCCCGTCCTCGAACACTGACAACAAAAACAAACAAACAAAAAAAACATAAAGAAACAAACATGGGCTCAAAGTCTCCCCTTTTTTTTTGTTTTCCTGTTTTGCTCGACAAGCGTGTTGACTTTAGGTGAGTTCCACAGACAAAGGAAGATTAATGCTTTCTGTTCAGGCATGCAAAAGCACCCTGTGTGGGGGGAGGGTCCTCGTGATTATCAAAAGTTCATCCACGCATCTCTCAGGCTGTTTCCCCCCCATTCTGTGATATTTACACATCTTACAAAGTCTGCCCCCGTGTTTGTGTACGAGTGCGTGCTCGGAGTCGTGATGGGATAACGGGAGGCTCTCCGGGCCGAGAGCCGGGGTTCAGCGCGTCGCCTCCCCCCGCGCCGCCGCACCTCACACGTGCGTCTCGATGAAGGAGTGCGTGTGGGTCATGAGGGGCGCGCCCATCGGGGAGAGCTCGTCCTGGCCGTTGGTGCCGGGGCTGAGCTGGCAGATTTCGGCGTAGAGTTCGCTGTGCCACTGCTTCCACTCTCTGAAGGTCTGGGAGCAGAGCGTGGGGTCCTCGAGGAGAGCGCAGATCACTTCCAGCTCAGACTCTTTGGCCTGCAGGACCACAGAGACACCAACAAGATGGGACACGTCTTGAAATGTAAAACAATTTAAAGCTTTTTGGAAGAAATCATTAAATCAGATTCAATAGATTTATCATTTGACTTGTGCCTGAGGTCGGACCTGGTAGTGACCAAAACTCGCTTTAAGATCCAGCCGAGACTTATGACTTCATAGCTTAAATATTGTCAACAGCAGCTGCGTTTCCATTGACCACACAATTGGAATTAGGAAAATGAATTTGCTTAATGGAAGCATGGCGATTGTGAAAAATTGTACAGTTTTTGCTGTAAAAAATTTTTCCGCTAGGATGGGGTGATTTTTTTGGCTGTATTGAAAGTGGTGAACTCCGCAGAACTGAAATGGAAACATTTTTTACCTCCTGCGAGTCGCAAGATCGACAACCAGATGTTACTACCGGCAGAAAAGACGGCTGGAAGCGGAGGGAGGATGACGGCTACAACATGATTTTATTCACATGTGAGTTTAATTTCTTACTTAATGGAAACACGGCAATTGTTAATTTGTGTCTTTTCAGCATTAGCCGATTATCGACAAAGTTCTGCGCACATTGATAACGGAAGCGCAACTATCGACTTTCAACAACATATAATTCCCAAGTCATATTATCAAATTTCCAGTTAACATTTTTGTTTGTTTGTTTCTGAAAGTGCTATGACAGGAAAGAATCAACCATATTGGAGATTGGTTATACTGACGTCAAAATAATCGTCATCAGCATCTGCCTTAAATAAAACTTCATCGGTGGATCCCTCTAGAATAATAAGGTGCGACGGATTTGGCGGCGGTACCTTCAAAGTGCTGCGGAGGGCTCGGACCCGGTGCAGCCGGTCGTTCAGCAGGGGGTCCCTCACTCTCTGGGTGAAACAGCGTCGCAGCTCCTGTTTGCTGCAGGGCCTGGGGTCTCCCAGAGCGTTCACGTTGGCCTGCTCCAGGGCCCGGTAGAGCTGCTCGAGCCCGTCCAGAGGCTCGGGGTCGCGTCCGTCTGAAATCCGTCGCTCCCTCCCCTCCGAAACTCTCCTTTCTCTGCTGTCCATTCGGAAATCCCGCAGGTCTGGAAAACCCAGAGCGCAGGAAGTGGGATTAGTGAGATTCAGCTGGGTATAAAACTGAAGACAGCAAATTAAAGGTCACTGCTATTGACCCTTTCCACGCAACGTCACTGTCTTCAGGAAGAGACCCACTTGTGTGTGAATAAACACACAAGGATATAAACCAAACTTATTTTTATTGTAAACGTCTTGACGAGGAAAGAAGACGTCAATGGATCGTAAGGGCAATTTGTGCAAAGGTAAGAAAATGAATGTTCCAGCACTTCACAAGTAGGATTTTTTGAAGACGCAATCAAATATGGCAGTGCCCTGTACATACATAGTTTAGAAAAATGTAATTTCTTTAACATGTTAACATTTTCTAGAGATGTATAAGCTAGATAATGTAAACCCTTCCACTTTTATCACATGTACGATTCAATGTGAACCAAAATGAACAGGCGAGTTCGTCTTCTTACCATCTTCTGCCTCCAGCATGTCTGCAGCTGAGCCCTCTGCCTCCTCATCCTCACTCCTTTCCTCCATATGAGCCGCACTGTGCAGAAACTTCCCCAGGATCGGATCTCTGTTCCTGGGTAGACTCTGACTCCGCTGCTTGTGGGAGCGTCGGTGCGTGTGGCTGTGTGTGTACGGCCCTCGCTCCAGCGGGAAGGGCCCGTCCCGTTCCCTGTCCCTCTCCGCCGCGTGGTGTCTCCGGACGGGCAGCGTCGCTTGCCGGCGCCTCTCCGGGGACATTCCCTGTCTGCCCAGACCTCTGTAGTACCCCATCTCTCCGGCCATTCCCCCAATCAGGCCGCCGTAGTCGCTCTCCCCCGGCGCCGTCTGCAGGAAGTGCAGCCCTGCGCTGGTCAGCGGGGTCTCGATAAGGTCCTGCCAGGAGCGGCGCTCGCGGTGGGACGAGCGGCAGCTGGACGAGTGGGTGCTGGTGCTGCCCGTGCCCGTCCCCATGCCCATGCCGTCTCCACGCTGGTCCTCGGCCGAGGAGTGAGAGTGCGTGGACTCGCTCGAGAAATGTCGACCGTGCTTGGACTCTGGGAAAGGGCTGGAGGAATTCACCTGCAGAGGGAGAGGGGAGGTGGAAGAGACCATCTGTGGAGGAATCGGGGAGGTGGAGGCACTTTTGGGGAGAGGGGATGGAGTGGAGCGCAAGAGGCTCATGGAGCTCAATGAGCGGGGCAACTGGTCGTAACTGTGGAGGAGGTTGGCCTGAGTGGGGATCAGGTGTGACGGAGCGAGCGGGGAGAGGAAAACGTCACCAAGCGGGTGCGGACATACAGAGACAGGAGACGAGCAGAGCAAGACGGATGAGGTGGGCGAGGACGGAGAGAAGAAAAGGCAGAAATACACCAAAATAAGAGAGCAAAAAAAAAAGCAATGAAATGATAGAGGTAAAAATATTGACATGACTGCTGAATGGTTTTAGTTTGAGTAATCATGGTGTTGCCAAGACAAACTGGAGAAGATACCCAAAAGGAACGATCTGTAAAGACCCACCGTTACTGTGAGCGGCAAGTTAGGTTTGCAGAATTATTAGAAACAGAATTTTTTTTGGGGAAAAAACTTAATACTAAAGAAATTATAGGTATAATAAAACGCCAGTTAAAGATTAATTGAAATAAGACCACTGGCGTTGGAATTAGCGAGTGCCAACACACATATTTAAAGGTAACACACCTATTTACTGTATGCTCATATATAGTAAATGTTTATCGTAAATATTTACTTTTTACATAAAGTAGGTTTACTGTATGTAAACGTTTGATTTTGAAGAAAGTAACGCAAAAAAATTATGTAAAAAAAAAAAAGTCTTTTTCATTTTTCTGGCATGTAAGTGATGTTTAGTCTGACTTAATATTATACGGTGGGGAAGAGAGGCTCTGTGTCTCTTTATAAGTGTAAACATCTGACTTCACCTGCTCACAAATAAATGAAGCTTTGCAGAATTCAGTGTTGGACGACACGCTAATACAGCTTGATGTTGGATCATTTGTTTCGTAGGCAGAAACGCCACCCACCACAGTGACATGCAACACATGTGGCCTTTACTTTGTATGAGCCTCCGCTGAAGAGGAAGGAAGATGTCAGCGCGACCTACTGCCACCTAGAGGTCAGACAGGGTAAACGTTATGATCTTGGCTGCTTACAGAACCAGATAGTCTCCCACTCTGACGTTTTATTAATGCTGAGAGCTCTGCTGTGTGCAGCTCGGAAAAACTGTGGGGCTTTTAAGAATAAAATATTCCATCAGAATGAAACGCTGCGGAGAGAGCGTCGAGTGGGCCTGAATGAGAGACTGCGTTACTCACAGATGGCGTGCGGTGGTAAGTATCACAGAGGGACGAGGGCCCCTCCTGTTTGAGTGTCATTGATCCGTCAACCTCGTCTTGATCGCTTTCGCTCCAGTAGTCTGATGTGGGGACAAACACAAAGGGGACACAGGCAGGTGAATTCACAAGCAGGAAGGAAAGGAGCACCTTCTTTTTTTATAAACACACCTTCATCAGGGCGCGGCACCTTATCGTCAGGTGTGTAGCCAATAGCAGCTAAGCCCAGCCGGTTCATCCACCTGCAAGAAACAAACAGACTTAGAGCGCATATAAAGGCAGGAATTTAAAAAAATGAAAATGGACTGCAGAAGGAGAGAAAATGAAGAATGGGTGACGATGGATCAATTCGAGGGACTGAATTTGACAACACACATAGACCAGCATGAAGAAGCCGACTTCTTCCTCCTGAGCGGCTTCCCAAACGTTCGTGATCATTTCAGAAAGGGAAACGTAAAATGAGGAAGGAAAGGTCCGACTTTCTCTGAGCCACGGACACCAATTTGTCTTCATTCCATGTCCCATCATTCGTCTGTGTCCCTCCACAGACACCTGACAGGTTGAGCCTGTTGCAGTCAGCAGTTCATGAATCAATTGAGATATCAATTAACATGACCTTGATCATTCCCATTCTGATGATTAAATCTGAAACCATGGCTCTGGGTGAGTATGGATATTATTTCTGTTTTATTTATTGATTGGTTGAGCTTCATTTTAGAAATTTAAAACATCTTCCAGATCCAGTATGGAGTGTTCTTTACAAAATGTAAGTTTAGTAGTCACAGAGAGAGTGCATTGTCATGCCATTATTGTTATATTACTTGAAAATGGTCTCAAAACAACAATATTATCGTTTATCGCGATAATTACTGGGACAATTTATCATCCAACAAAATGTATTATTTGGACAGGCCTGAGTAAAGTCGCAAAAATGTCAAAGTATTCACATTCCTGATTTTTTTTTCTCTTTTCAACACTTTACAATTAGCCAGAACCTGAATTGTGCAGGCACTAAAATAAACGGAATAAGAGTTTAGTTAAATATAATCTACTATCTCAAGAATCTCATCCAAATCCAAATTTAACCGTTTCATAAATATTACACTCTTGCAGTCATTCAATAAAACTCTTTTTTGGAGCAGGAATATTGGAAATCAGGCTGGTAAACCTGATTAAACCTCCCAGGAGCCTCATTAGTTGCATCATGGGTACTTTAAAGAAAATACCTCAAAGTTCCTTTGCCTCTTAGAAATTGTGCAGTTTTGTCAAGAGACATTTCTGAAATGTTTAAAGACTTCTGCCTTAAGCAAAGAAGAAAATGATTACAAACTACACAGCAAACACTGGATTTCTTTGGCACTGGAAACGTGGAGTGTGTGACGAGCAAGATGGATTCACAGAGTTCATGATGTCTGTGAGAAAACCGAAGTTTGAGTGTCACTGGACTGTCAAACAGATCTGATCCGAAGCAAATCTGAAAATCCTGACTCCCTGGTTCAATCTGGTTCGCATGTCTCTCCCCCCTCTCCCTTCACTTCTGCTATTTTTCTGTTGGATTTTTGTCTACAAAAGCATTTTTATAGTCCACCTTAAAATATATGAAGTTCATCAACCTCTAATATGTATGCATAATGATGCTCCGTTAACATTTTCGCCTGCCCCCCCATGTATCCATGGCTAGAACCGGCCCTGCTCCCCACAATCCCCTATAACCCCTAAACGACTTGTTCCCAGGAAACTGTTTTCAAATTCATCAAACCTCGTCTGCTTCAGCTCTACAAAACAGAGACTATATTTAGTTTTAGTTTCCTAAGTACACTAAAACAAACAAACAAAAAAAAAGCTGCAATGACATTCAAACAACTTTCATTTCTTACAGAGACATCCGTGTTCTTGCACAGAAATCCTGTGAAAGTGCCTGGAACCACAGACGAACCAACAAAATGCTGCACAGAAGTCAAATATAGCTGCTTAATTACGATCCTCCAATTATCTCCACATGTCATTCAGGGGAGGTGTAGATAATTAGAGCTCATCAGATGGCACTCCTGCAAATATCATTACATTCTCCCTCTCAGATGCACACACGTGACTCATAGATACACACACACACATGCACACATTCACTCACATGTGTTTCCAGCTCTAAAGTTTATCAGCAGAAGACCAGGATCATGTCTTATTCATGCGCAGTGTGGCGTTGGTGGGCCGCTGCCCTGTGTAAACTTGTTTTACTCGGCTAAAATATTCATAAGCATGACACGTGGCATCCCTGATCTCTGACTGCAGTTCACCTCGACACACACACACACACACACAAGCGCGCGCGAGGATGAAGCTCACCTGTTCATCTCCTCGAGACAATCTGTGGCGAAGAAGAAGCTCTTGATTTTGGGGTGACAGGCTTTGAAGGCGCTGCAGTCAGCCAGAGAGAAGGAGATTGATTAGCTTTTTTTCTTCTTCTTCTTCTTCTTCTCCTTCTTCCCCCAACCCTTGTTTTGTTTTCCAGCATGCATGGCGCGTTTGTGTGCGTTCACGTTGTGTGGGTGAGAGCAAATGTGCTTGATTAGTAATTCTGGCGACATGTGAGGGGGAGACTCACAATTTCCGCCTGCACTCTATGGCTCGGTCTATTCTGAACTCGGGGAGGCTGATGAAGCCCTCAGCCTTCTCATCCTGCAGGCGGAGACAGATGGAGAGCGGCGGTACATCATCCACACAGAGAACAAAATGTCAGGCACACTGATATACCAATTTTACAGAGGATACTATCGGCGAGGTGAAGTGCATGAAAACAAGATCTGCTGTTTACGTTGGCAGGGATGGTTTACTAAGACACACTTAGCATAAAAAAAACAAGCTGTGATTCTCTTAAATGGGCTACATTTAATGTACTTTGAAATTAAAACTGGTAATGTTGTCATCCGAATGTTCATTATCACTTAGGGCCATACAAATGTTACAGAAAAGTGACGTTTTAGTCAGGTAAAGCAATCTTGAAAAAAACAATGTTCTTGCAAACTTCAAAAGTTTAAAAGTAACCTATTATTCTTCTTTATCAACAGATTAGGAAAAGTATATGCGCTACACAAAACATGTTTGATATATTTTAGATGTAGTGAGTTCTGCCTGTTTCTCTCTCCTTTCAGAAGTGGCTGGTTTAGGGCGTCTTGTCACTTTAAATCCAAATAAGCTGCTGCTTGCCCCGCCCTCCAAACTTAATGTTTACACTTACACTTAATAATGGCTGCAAACGGATTTGTAACTATCCGGCCATACATCTTTGAATAGCAAAAGTCGAGCCTGCTGCGCAACCACCAAGTATGCAGCAGGTGTTTTCTAAATGGTAGGTCAACAACTAATTGCCTGCCCTTTCCAGAGGCTGTTTTCATAAGCAGCTGAGACCCGAATGGAAACATAAAAGCATGCAGAATGTGAATTTTTTTTAAAAGCACATGTAATTTTATCAGAAATTTGCAATACATGAAGTAAATATCATTAATCATCGTCTAAATGAAATAACGAACCGTCCTTATTCATAGGAATCTATGTTTTCTAAAGTTGTGCAAAAAGCCTAAAGCTAAACTTCTTATTTTGTCAACAAATTTAGAAAAAAAAGTAACTTTGAGTCAAATAAAACGTTATTTAGTGAAGGGAAGACAATCCTCCCATGTTCAGAAATTAATGTTTTTCTCAAAATAATGCTGTTGATGCCAGTGCTATAAACACATTGACACAAGGAGTGAGGCTCCAGATGGTTTGGATCACACAGAGGAAAGAACCTCTGGTTGCTGTATTTGTTTATTTCTACACACTCAGATGACAGAGGAAAAAGAGCTCAGTTTGGGGTCTTTGTTAACTTGGTGACATTTTTGGGGTCTTTATTAGCTTGCTGTTAAGAGACCACCAGCTTTTATTGAAAATCTCCTGGCATTTCAAAGAGTTCATGAGGATCCATGGAAGAGAAAGCTTTTCTGTGTTTCACACTTGGAGAGTAATCGTTGATGACCAGCTCAGTCGTAGTCTAATCTGACTAAAGTTAAAGACCCGATCAGAAGAATAAGCCTCATGTTTATGATTCTGATGTAAAAGCAGAAGTTTGCCTGCCGACCAGGTGGTATGAAATCGGCTTGTAAATGATGGTGCTCTTATTTTTTTTCTCATCTTTTGCCTCCAGTACAGTTTGTGCATCGAGGCGAGAGAAATGCTGGCCCTTTGTCCAGTATCGTCACTTCATACTCATAACCTGCTAAACCAAAGTGTCTAGACACGGACATCAACTTAGAAATCAAAGATGAAAAACAAAAAGCATGATTCTCTTTTTCTTCGTGCTGTGATGGCACTCAAGTTGAACCTTAAATATTTCTCAAATTTCCAGTGATGTTATCATGACGCAATAAAAGATGGAGTTATCTTTAGGCTTTTTACACTCCTTTTATCAGCGGTACCAACAGAGAAGCAGGCTGACGCATGAAAACAGTCGAATCCCGTTTACATCTTATGAGCAATAAGAAAAAAAAAAGTGTTCAAACCTTTCATGACTTGAAAATGTATCAGAAAGGAGACCAGCAAGAGAAGCTAAACAACTATTGACGCAAATGTCTTACGTTTTGGTTGGTGTACCAGTAAAGGCAAGATTCTTTGAGGATGAACCAGTACTTCCTCCATTTTTGGGTGAAATAGCCTTTAGCGTCCTTCTTCTTCCACAGCCAGCCCTCGCAGTCGCCGTGGCCCAAATCCTTACAGGAGATTCTCCTTCGACTGGCGCTGGTGAGGGAACCTGGGTCAGAAATAAAATGAAAACGTGTCAGCCCCAGAAGAGGCTTCATAGCCCACATTGCAACCCCTTATTATATTCGGAGCACATTACACCTGAGACAGTGACAAATGGAGGCTGGCCAAAAAAAAAAAAGAAAAAGCAAATCATTAATTACTGGAAGTCAAATAAAGGACAAAATGGGAGCAAGAATACACGCAATCCCTTGTGTCTCATGTGTGAGTTTGTCTTTCATCTATTTTCATCCAGTAAAGTACATCAAGACATATATAGTATATATATATATATATATATATATATATATATATATATATATATATATATATATATATATATATATATATATATATATATATATATATAAACTGCAGATGTCAGAGCTTTTAATATTATTTCAAGCCTTGTCATTCGGTGACTCACTGCTGAGAAACATTTGTTCAACTCTCAGGCAGAAATCACAAAAACAAAAACGTTTCGCTGCACATTATTACAAATTGCTAAACATAGGAAGAATAAGGGAAGAAACAATGACGAACTTACCTTTACTTCTTTTTGGTTTTCGTTCTTAAAGACGTGTAATGGAAAGACTAAAGGGAGGAGGGGAGGAGAAAGGTGTTAGCAAAGTTCAGGCTTAATGATGATGGACAAAGGCAAAGATTTAGAGCGGCCCATTTACTCTCCTTTTTAAGCTCGCTCTTTTCCCATTTGTGTTTTGAATTAAATGGCTTTTTTTTTACAAAAAGCATTGTAGCTAGCCATCAGCTGGAATCTCATGTAAAAGCACCACCTGTTAAACCCTTTCACTCTAACCGAATCTTTTTACATATTAATGCATATTCAATAAAAACAGACAGAAAGCAGGAAGGAAGATGTTCACCACTCAAAAGTAGCACCAAAATGTGCTAAAGCTAACTATCGGAGTGAATGTTTTGTGCTGCGCTAACTAGATTTTCTCTGTGCCTTTAAGTTTCCATTTTGGTTTAACTGGCTTCTTTTTTTTCTGTTTTCTACCAAAATATAATCTTCTAATAGCTACCACCAATTTTCCAAGTGTAAAAATATGTAATTTATTTATTTATTTTGCTTAAAGTTGTACCAAACTTTGCATAGGCAGCCTGTTTCTATGAAGACTCAGCCTTTGTTGATGTTTTGTTTCTCTGTTGGATTAGCAGCATAATTTGCTGAGCTAACCGCTAGACGTAGCATTTTCATAAGTGGGTGGTGCCGCCATATTGGGAGGACAAACTGGTCTGAACTGCTGTATTACCGAAAAGGAGAAATAAATATTCTAACAGAATGAAATTGCTGCACAATTCTTCTATGCAATCAAAAGTACATGTTTTGCTAGCGCATGTAGCAAATGAAACATCTTGATAATAAAACAAACTTTAAAGGAAATCAATCCTTTGATATTTAAACAGACCAACCAGCAAATTTTTATGGAATATATGCTTTGTTATATTTCTGAATGTAAATATTTTGCATTTAACATGGTCAATGTAATATAGCGCATAAACATGACAATAATCAGTGATCAATAAAATTATTTGGATAATTATTTTGATCACATGTGACCCTACATTCAATCGGGTCACTATTGAATGTAAAGTTGCTCTTTATATTTTCCAATTTGGCTCCAGCTTTATTTAATGATGAAGAATATGTTTAAATTTGTAGTGTGATTTTGTTTATTTTTGTAATCTGGTGAAAATGAGATTTTTTTTTTATCAATCAAATTCTAAAACAGAGATACAAATATGTCTCAGGGATATAAATCGCTTTCTTAAAAGCTACATTCTAATTTCTTTGAATTTGGAGTTGCCTGCTTGACAAACAGACTTTAAAGTGAGTAGAAAAACACATGGAGCACATATAATATAGGTAACATTTTAATTAAAGAAGATGACTGGGAAAATGTCACATCCCAGCAAAACAATGGTCTAACCCTACCCACCCAAAACGCCTTTGAGGAATAAGTGAGACTTATTATCGGACATCCACCTTTTAAAAACAAACAGTTAAAATGTGAGTTTTATGGTGTATTATTTTTACTTTATTTCCTTCTCATTTGTGTGAGAGCGTTTGTCTGTTAAAAAACCCTGAAACGGTTCCTGATTTCTATTTAAATTGGACCAAACTGAGTCACAGCGCTTTGGTTCGGGCTGGCGGCTGAAGCAGCTGCTGAGTCACGACAGCCTAAATATGGAAATCTATTTACCTCGATTGATTGCTCTGTTTGATTTCATCATTGCAGTCCTTACAGCCCCCGTTTATTCTTAGAAATGTCCTCTGCTCGTGCACGGCTGGGGGCTCGGCTATTATTTATACAAAACTGGTCTTCGTGCGACTGTCGACGCGAGTGAAGCATGTGATGCCTCAGCAAAACGAGGGAAATCGAAATGAGAACGTACTTGAGAAAGAAAAAAAAAACACACACTGTTTTGTTCTTTTTGGACCGAGATGCGCCGGAGTCAATACCAACAAAACAAAAACAAGCGGCGCCAGCTCCTCCTACCTTCCTCATGGAGGCGGCTCCTGAGCTTCCTGTACCAGAGTACCTGCAGGAGGATTGATAGGATGCGATTTAACCACAAACAGCTCGTGACCCAACACTTTACCGATCGCAGGCGTGTGGGGTAACTCGCCTGTCGGTCGTGTCGGCTCGCAGCGTGTCTGCACCCCGCTGGAAGACGGAGAAGGACAGGGGACCCATTAGAAAACAGAAAACAACATTAATGCACATCTTCACCTTCCCGCATGAACAATGTTTTATGTTCCATCAGTCAGAAACACAAACTGAACACTGTACAAGAAATCTGTACAATTTACGGCATTTCACAGTAAATTAGAGGCGTTTTTGTTTACGGTGTCATTTTTTTTCTCTATTTTTTTCCGTTTTCTGTTTTAAAAAGTTAAATATCTAAAAAGAGTGAACATGAATGCTCTGCTTTCTGAAGATGTTCTGATCTCCATGTCTTGACAATTGTCTTGCACTTCTACTCAAAGGTTGAAGTGTTTTTAAGGAATATTTCTGTGCATTCGCCAGTTGTTGACTTAAGCTGAAGTGAGTCTTACAACCTCACACCCACTTTGTTGCCAAAAGTATTCGCAGTTCTAAAGTCCCTCCACTGGCTCCCTGCAGCTCAAAGAATAAACTTTGAAACATTGATCTTAGTTTAGAAATCACTGAACTGCTTGACACCATAATACATCAAGTTACCTGCTGTTGTTGTATCAACCCTCCAGACCTCGCAGGTCTTCTGGTTCTGGTTCTGCTCTGCATCCCCAGAACCAGAACCAAACATGGAGAAGAAGCTTTCAGCATCTATGCACCACAAATCTGGAACAAACTTCCAGAAAACTGCAGAATAGCCGAAACACTGAGTTCCTTTGAACCGAAACACCCTGCTGTTGCGATTTGTTTTTGATTAATAATAACTGGAACATCGATCAATATATCTGATGTGTATTTGATTATTCTTGATGATGGCGTGAGACAAAATGCAATGTTTGTGGCTTCTTTCATGACTGGTGAGTGTATTATGTTTTTATCACTCTGAATTGCCATGTTGCTGCTGATGATGATAAATGTAACAAAAATAAAACTCATATTTTCAAAGTGTAAATGCAACGCTTACTACCAAATATAAATACTCAAATACATGCAAATACACCACTTGTTTGGTGACTGTGAAAAGGAGTAAGACGATGTCTGACTTACGTAATCGTACCTCTATCAATTCTACAGTTCAATAATCTATAATCTTCTTCCCCATATTCCTTCTAAATCAAAAATAGTTCCTGAACCAGATGAAAATAATATACAAATAAAGTTGACTTCAAACTCACTGTCCTTAATTTGTAGGATTTAATAATGCTAACAAACCCTCTGTGGCATAAAAACATTTAATTTGCCTGCCAGTCTTGACAAGTCAAAACAAAAGTTAAAAAGTCAAACTAATCCAAGATTGACATAAGACCAAAACCAGAGTTGAGTTCTACAACTCTCAGTGATGCTCTGTCGTCTCCACATTGGAAAACGACGACGACGAAAGGAAATAAGCCTTATAATGCTGATGGGAAATATTTTGGCTAAAATAAAAGATTATATGCAATACTATTCTGCATGAAATGACAAGGAATAGCACACTATTTTTGCACAGATCGCACAACTTTTAGTTGGGTACAAAATGGCTTTTATGGAAGATTGGAGAGAAGAGAACCATCTTTGAAAGAAACCAAACGATGTGGAAGCTTTTCCTCAGCAGGGACAAGGAAGCTGGTCAGAGATAAACACAGAGCAGTGCTGGAAGAAAACATGTTAAAGGCTGCAAACGACCTGAAACTGAGGTGAAAGGTCACATTCCACAAGCACAACAATGGACTGGTTTAGCTAATAACATATTCCTGCTGAGAAACGTCAACAACGAATTCAGCACAGCTTTCTGTGTGTTGCTTCAAAAAAGTAAATATTTCAACCAAAAAAACAAGAACAAATAAAAAGCTTCCCTCTTGACCTGTCCTGGCAGATGGGCTTTTTTTTAAGGCAAGATTTTTCATATCCAAAAAGCAGCAAAAGGACAGGATGCCATTCAGCATTTATTTACATTTGTAGAGACACAGGAGCCCCTAAATCAGAAACGGCTCCATTACCAAGCAGACTGTTCTCAGCCTGATTACAGGCTTGATTTCTTGATGACTATAATTTACTGAGGCTTGGTGTGACAAGAATGATTCCCTAACACCACAAATCTAATCATTTGTGAAACCTTAAGCTAGTCCTCTCCACAAAAATCCACTGTATTTCTCAATCATTTAAATATATTTTTTCCATTCCAAGCCGGCCTGTTTGATGATCAATCCGGAGCCACAGAGGGAACTGGGCGCCGTAAGCCGAAGGTGAGGAGAGATGATTGGGATCATTTCTGATTAGAAAGCGAAGCGGCTTAGTCAGTGTGTCCAGGGGACGGTTATCCGCTAATCCAGCCACTTTCGCAAAAACTTTGAAACACATACACACAACTTGGAGCCAGTGCACGCATTGCATTTCGCATTATCCGGGACTTGCTTTGTTTGGGGTCGGTTTCCGTAAAGGCATCGATTTCGTGGGAGGGGGACACGACTGATAGGCAACCAAGAAATAAATAAAACGTGAAAACGAGCAGGTTGCTAAGGTGGCGTATGCTTGTTAGGGGGAAAAAGAGAGAGAGAGCGCACACCTCATGTGCGGGCAAACAAATGTGAGTCACAGCCATGAAAAACACGCAGCCGAGAGGGTTAGAGCTGGCGAGAGCAGGGCTGCGTACGCGTGTTTGTTTGCATGCTGCGCGTTTAAAGCACAGTCTGTCAGTAGCGCTTCTAATTGGTCTAGCTGATGCTGAGTCACACACCTACTCACCGGGATACTGCTCTTTGTGTGTGTGTGTGTGTGTGTGTGTGTGTGTGTGTGTGTGTGTGTGTGTGTGTGTGTGTGTGTGTGTGTGTGTGTGTGTGGTGTGTGTGTGTGTGTGTGTGTCTGTGTGCGTGCGTGCGTGTGTTTGTTCGGGATAAACTCCTGTTTAGACTCCGGTGTGTCAGAGGAGATAGGGATATTAGGATGAGCTGTGAGATGCATACCGTGCATACAAATGCACTCCTGTGTGCTGGAGTGTGTGTGTATGTTTCTTTCTGCGTGTGTGCGTGTGTGTGCGTGTGTGTGTGTGGGGGTGTGTGCTGGCTTGTACGTGAGAGAGAATATGAATGCTACAAAACGGGGCGTGCCTCAATGTCACTGTCCCTTTCCCCATCCGCGATACTGGCGGCCATGAAGTAGCACTTATCTTCGTCACCTCTACATGACAAACACTCTCAACACACACACACACGTTCGGAAACGGCAATGTGTGTTTATCTGCAGACACAATGACCTATCCTCTAGGTAAAAACAGAAAACGTGAAGAACAAAGAACGCTAAAGGCTCACAAAGTATACCCAGGGCTGGAAGAGGAAGCAGAGAATTTGTGGAGAGCCGCGGCCTTACAGCTGGCAGTAGTCTCTCTGTGGACTTTGGCCTTTGACCTCGAAGCTGCAGCAGATTCCAGGAACAACCTCTGAGCTCTCTAAGCACCCCCAGGAAAAGCTGAGATGCCCTCAAGCTCTGGTAGAGGACTCCAGTTTGAATCAGAGGACATGATTACAAAAATAAAAACACAATAAACTGAAAATCTGTGGTGTGTCTTTAGATTCAGTATTGACCTTCAATACTTTATAGAACAAAATATAATATACAAGATGGAGAACAAGCTTCTGTACCACTTTGTTTCAGTCACATTTTTTATAAATATCATTTATGTACTTTTGCATCATAACTCCCTTGGGCTGTCATAAACAAATACATAATAGGGACATAAAATAATCTACTCATTCTATCCAAAATGTACTTTTTTTTTAACCCAGACCTAGAATTTTAAAATTCGCTTATTCAGATCAAGAACATTATTATTTTCTTGATGGTTTCCACGCAGACAAAGCAAAAGATTTTCAATTGATTAGTTTACTTTGTGAAAGTGCAGAAAAATAAATCCTCACAGTTTGATTGTTGTGTTGCGTTACCATAGCCACAACCCGATGCTATGAGTTGAATGTTGGCGCTCGAGCTCGGTTTGTCCGCAGACACGTCTCAGCTAATAATAACCAATCATCAGCGATTGCTTTTCAGCTCGACCTATCAAACTCGGCCTCCTCTCCCAGATTCCACTGAATCTGCATTGAAGTTAGCGATGGTGCCGCAGTGAGAGGGGCCCTAAATCATATTCTACTCAAGGCCCCATGAAACCTCAGGCCAGTCCTGATTAATTTATTGCACATAGTCAAATTAAGTTTATCTGAGTAAATGTATTAAGTTCATTAAGTTGTCTTGTTAAACACAAATAAATTAAGTTTGACAAGCTTCCTTCGATTACATCACAAATTAACTACATTTTTGAAGCTGGAGCTCTATTCTCTCTCTTCAGAATCAAATAATTCACTTATTACCAGGCTTTTGTCAAACCTGATGGCACAAAGTGGAGGTAATTCAAACATTTGATTCATATTTCAGCGCAGGGATGCATCTAAACGCTGGTGGCTAAGGACTGGGAGATCCTGCTCTGACCATAACCATCAGTGAAATAATAATAAAAAACATTCAAGCGGAGAGCTTTAAATCTATAAGCTGTTTTTTTCTAAATTCCTGTGGCAATCAGCTGTGCTACAGTGCTTTCACAGCAGGACAGATGTTAATGAACCCCAGAGATGTGCAGAGTAACATAAAAAATTTTACTCAAATAAGAGTAGTACAACTTCAACATATTTTTACTCAAGTAGAAGTAAAAAGTATACAAGAAATTACTCAAGAAAGAGTGAAAAAGTATTTAGTAAAACGTTCACTTAAATACTGAGAAGCTGATCAAATTATCAGTCACTTAATATTTAAAAAGTACATAGGCAGACAGAAAAAAATATAAATATAAGTAGACATTTTTGGTATCTTAAAGACACAAATGACAATAATTCAAATGAGTAACAAAAAAAATAACTGAATCAGGCAAATTAATTGTTTTTCCAAATCAGTTTCTTTCAATACAAAGAAACTGAGTTTTAAATTAGTCGGAGGGTGAGATTGAATGAAGTCAATCAGTAAGTGTCAACAGAAAGTATTTTGCGTTGTATGGCTGCTGAACACTTAAAAGTATCAAAGTTTTGATTGTTGTTGTTGCAGAAACAAGCTTCACATTTTCACCGGTGAGTCGTGACAGACAACAAAACTTTGTGTGTCAGTGTTTTGTAAATTAAAATTAGTTCAACATGTTGAAATTAGTCAAACTAATTTCATAAACTTCAATATGTTTCAGTTGGATTTTCTTTGATAAACAGCGTATAATTTTAAAAGCGTATTGAAATCTGTACCAAAGTTTTTTTTTCCTTCCAAGAACTAATCTGAACTGTGTGGCATGCACTTGTTTTCTGTACCTTTTACTTTAACTGTCTGGGAAAAAAATGTTTCCACTTTAAAAAGCCATGCAATTGCTAAACAGCAACCATCTTTGTGTGCTTTCCTCCCAGCAAAAGAAACACATCTGTTCTGTTTCCAGCCTCAGAGGTTTGATGGAGAACAAAATTATCATCATGACTTCACAAAGTCCAAAGAACACAGCAGATATGTTGGGGATGCAATCATGGGCAAGCTTTAAGATTAAAAAATAATAATAATCCATCATGAGACTGGAACATTTCACATAGTTCTGGTCAGAACAGTGGACAGCTGTAAACTCACCAATGAACATCTGTTGAAATTTTAAGTTGTTTTAAAATAGAAATGATGCACAACACAAAATATTTGTCTTTAATAAACTTTGGTGGGTTTTTTTCTTCTTTTTTTAAAATTAAATCTGCCACCTTGAACCTCCTCTGCACAGCAAGTAGTCTTGGATGCACACATTCATTAAAAATGACTAAAAAGAGAAAGCATTTTGAACAAAGACTGACCCGTGTCTCGCACTTTTGTAGAGAGTTAGACAAAAACATTTCAAGATCTATTACATAGAAAACAATCGGCTCAAAAAAAACTTGGGAAAATCTTTTTTTTTTCTGTTTTACTGAGACAAACATCTTTGGATATATAACCATTTACAGATACAAAATCAGACTACTTTAAGTGCAAGTTTTAAAAAATATAAAATATGTTGAAATTAACATTAAAAAATGTATATAATTTACATTAAAAAAACAACTGTTTCAAAGTACTTTCATTTGAAATTGTGGCGCATTTGACAGGAAGTTAGCACAAGGTTTGCATCAAAGCAAAATCAGGTTAGAACGGCCAGGTCAACTTCAAAACATTAATTTTATATGAAAACATATCTGACCAAGCTTTCCATATTTTTGAAAATCACAGGAAAAAGTAAGTAAGTTTCATTTAATGCAGATTAAATGAAAACCATCGATCATGCTCCTTCAATTTCACATTTATATGCAGCTTTGTTGGTTTATCACATGAAAATGCAGACAAATAAAAATAAAATTGAAATAAATGTGTTCAATTTGTGTTTAATGTGACAAAATGTGGAAAAAACAATGTAGAGAGTGTAAATACTTCTCCAGATTGCAGTGCTGAAAGAAGTCTTTGTACGTACCGGGAGAGGCTCAGGTGGTTGGTCAAGCCGTAAGGTGGAGGAAAGCATGGAGGGGCTGATCGGAAAGCTGGGGCTGCTGGGATTACGACTCTTGCGACGCGAGCGTCTGGTGGAATCCCGCCGGCTCTCTCTGCCCGGACCCTCGGGCTCCTCCTCGATCACCAGGATCTTGTCGTCGCTGAGATACCGCAGCAGCGAGTTGTCTGAATCTGTGGGAAGTGAGAGGACAAGGGGTTTGCGTGGACTTTAGACGGCGGTTTGGGTCAGAACAATGGATAAGACGGAGGAGAAATCCTCGGAGGGAGGAGATAAGGTCTTGGAGTCCAGGGCGAGGCACAGAGTAAGAACAGCTGAGCCTGAATGTACAGATAAAGACCCAACGGAAAGGCATCAAAGTGCCTCAGAGCAGTAAGAGCTGATATGGGATCACAGTTGGGAGACGTACATCTATAATCTGTTTGTAGTGATTATGTTGATACACAGGACTCTGTTGCTAAATCTCGCTGTGACACGAGCTTTGATTCTGCTCCGGCACAGATAAAAACTCCTCAACTCATTTGTTTACCGTCCCCGAGTTTCAAAATGAACATCCAGAAAGAGACAAAAAGGAAGAGGAGAAGTAGAAAGGCCAGCCTCGTACATTAGGACTGTACTTTAATAATATTCATAGACTTTCTGAAGGTAGAGCGGAGGGCGCTCTGTTGAATACAGATCGAACCTCGCCACCAAAATAGCAAGGCTGCTTAGAATTGGTCACGTTCTCCTTTCCCAAGCCGCTGCATAAATGCAATTTCCTTGCATTTGTGTCTAATAGTCGCTCTTAGAGATACATACCAAGTTTGATATGTATCCTCACACAACCCAAGGACCATGGACAAACCAGACAATGAGCTGAGATGCACTGAGCTGAGCATGAAGCGAAGCATGGCGCCACTTTGACCCGGCAGCATCAGCGCCGCGGAGTGCTGTGTTTTTCCTTCCCTTTCCGTGTGTGTGTGTGTGTGTGTGTGTGTGTGTGTGTGTGTGTGTGTGTGTGTGTGTGTGTGTGTGTGTGTGTGTTATCGTGCGTATAGGTGTGTGTGTTCGTGTGTACCTCTGCTCCCTCTCTTGCCCATGCTGGGTTCCTTGGCTTCGGCCATCCAGTTATATTCAGGAGGCATGGAAACAGGTCTGAGATCACCTGGAAGCACCAATCAGCAATCAGAGAGTCTGGCTGAGAGACAGAGTGGGACACAGCTGGAGGGGTGGACGGGTGAGACAAAGAGAGGGTGTGTGCAGGTAGGGCGGGACTAGTGAAGGACCACTTCCAACCTGCGCTTCATCAGGAGCTCCAGAGTTATTTTGGGGGGATTCTGACAAAAAAAAAACAACTAAAAACTAAATTTTCCAGTCACAGCAACTCGTGTACGGCTGATTTGTTCTTTTTTTTTTTTTTTGTAAATGGACAAACAATGACCTACATTTGTTTGAAAACTAGATTAAAATTGACTCATCACTAATTTCACAATAAAAAATTTTGAAAAATCCAACTTTACTTTAACTATTCTTAAAATAATAAAGAATATAACCTCTTAACTGTCACCCCCAAAGCACTTACATGTCATCTAAAGGGTCCATGAGGACACCAGGGTCCTAATGGCGGTTGAGGGACAAAGAAAAAAAAGAAAAAAAACATCAAAGCCTTTTCATTTTATATCTTATTTATGAAGCTTCTATGTTTTTAAGAGAGTCTAGGAAAGAATAATGAGATGTTTCACCTGGCAACGCCTCAAAATTATATAGAGGGGGAAAGAAAAACATTCAACAACAGTAAAACTATTTTGATTAGCAGAAAATTGCTGCTCTGCTAATTTTTTCCATACCCACACTCGGAAAGCTATTCTCATAGTTTAAAGTTCCTGGAAATGAGGCAAACGAGACTGGACGATTTCCTGAGTCTGTCAGTTTGGGAGCTGACTGAGTCTCAAGTTTCCGCACAAAATAGCTGCTTTTAAGGGGTTTTATTAGGAATCCAATGACTGTGAACGGTGCTTTGACAGGCACATGAACTAGCCAAATGTGTTATGGTCAGAATGTAAAGATCAAGCTGCGACTTTAGTCGCAAGTGGTAATCATGAGGCTTGTAAGTCAAAGAACGTTGTACCAACCACCAAGAGTCAAGCATGGTGAGAGTAGCATCATGCTACGGGGCTTTCATGGCACAAAGCAGGAAGAATTATGCAAAAAGAGAACTACACCTAAATTATTCAACTTCCCCTTAACTCAGCAGTAAGACAGTAGACACTTGGACGACTGAGTGGTCGAAAACACACATAAAACTTGTAGACTAGCTGAAGAAGACTGGCTACTATTCCTGAGTTCAACCATTCAGACAATGTAAGGACTGTGCTTAAAAGTCAGGTCTGTGCCAGGAAACATTACATTAACTCTAATAAATCTGGGGGGGAAAAGAGCGGTCTAATGTTTAGTCAGGAGTGTGCCAGGCTGTTCCCAATTCTTAAAAATCTACTGATAAGCTTCCTCTATACAGATAACAACAAACTCATTTGATTACTGGACGGTTTTCTGGCTGGATCCAATCCAGAGTACTAAGCAGGGTTCAGGTCAGGCATCTCATCTGGGACTTGCTGGCGGTCGCTGTATGGGCGTGTGTCTGCTTATGAAGGAGCTGGACTGGACTGCTGCGTTTGTGACCCTTGCCTTGTGCCTCGCATGGTGGTCCCTTGACGCAAGGGCAGACGGGAGGTGCGCTGCAAGCTCGCTTCGGAGGGCGTCGAGGGAAAAAGGTGGACATAGGTGGTGGAGCAGACAGGGGAGCCGGAGTGTCTCGTGCGACCCCGCTGTTTAAGGCGAGTGAGTCTGAGTCTGTGTTTGTGCGTATGCCAGACGAGGACACGAGCGAGCACAGCGATGAGGCGAGTGAGGAGGAGAAATGGTGGGAAGAAAAGACAGGAGACCTGGTGGAGGTGGAGGTGGAGGTGAACATGCAAGTCAGGCTGATCGGGTGGAGGGGCCCGAGCCGCTGTCGCTGTCATTTCATCGCAGGCTCTTGCGGTGCGCCTTACCATGCGTCGGTGTCTTGTCTCGCCGTCGCACACCCGTATTGCGGCCCCGGTCATAGTCCGTCCCAGCGGGTCCGTCGCCCTCCAGCAGAGAGAAGTACTGACCGCTGTCCTGGTCCAGGTAGTAGCTGACGGCCTCCGAGCCCTTAGACCCGGACTGGGAGCCTACGCTGTAGCGACCGATGTCGTCGCACGACATGAGGCCCATCTCCTCCCTGCGGAGAGCAGAGCTGTCAGCATAAATGTCACCCTGTCATCAGCGGTGTCGGAATAATCAGGATAATGGCCGTCATCGCAACCTTTCCGCGCGCGTGCCCTGACCTGGTGCTGTAGAGTCCAGAGACGGGAGAGAGGATGTAGACGTCCTGCATGCTGGGGGCGTCCATGGTGGACATGCCCAGGGTTCCACCGGGTGTGGGGGACGTGCTGGTGGGACTGGTAGGGATGGGCTACAAAGAAAAACAGAGAGAAAGACTTTTCAGCATCTTTTCTGGATCAAAAATGAAGAATGAAGTCAATCCAATCCGGACAGATTGGGCTGACTGTCCAAGTTCAGTTTATCATTCCAACCTGTGGAAAGATTTTTGTTTCCAGCTGATTCCATCAAGTGTGAGTGAATTTGCAGCGATCGCTCCTCGGCGAACATGTCTGCACGAGGTTTACATGAACCAGCCTGTGAAGCCTGCTTAGTCGCCTCACTTTCCTGTCATTTCGTGTGAAGTCTCTCCATGTCTGTTCCCATGACAACCCCTGTTCTCCTACACTCCTGTCATTTTTCCTGTTTCCAAACTGTTCTTTAATTCCCCATCCCCTCTTCCGAGCCCCTCTCCCCCCCTCCCACTATTGTGAACTCCGAAACAAGGAGAGGACGCGGGAGGGTTATTGTCGTCTCCCGTCTCTGCTCGACTCAAGGACACTTGGATTTATTTGTCATCCGTGTCTTTGTGAGGGAAGGATACCTCGCCGCGGCTGCCATAGGAACAAATTTCGATTTTTGGAGCAGCTGCTCCAAAGAGCAATTATCAATTTCACCCGAAGGAAGAGGAGTTCATGCTGTATGTCGGAGGATTTGGCCAACGTTTCAGGGAGACGACGCGGACAGAATGAACAAATAGGGACGGAAGAAAACAGTGCGACGGCGAGGAGGCAGCGCTCTCATTAAGGAAGCCCACTGTCTCATTATTTCATCAGCACTGCATTAATCAAATTCATTTCATATTCCAAACTTTCCTCTCTCTCTCTTTATCTCTGCTCCCCTTCACAACCTCTTTCCCCAAGCCTCTGTCTCCCTCCTTCACCCGCGCAGTCTTCCTCCACTGAAGGCGGCTTACAGTAAGGCGGCTTTGGCAAAAAATAATGAAGACGAGATGGAAGGAGACCAAAGTCAAAGGGTTGGGGGAACTAAAATAGGGCAAAAAAAAAAAGGGAAAAAACTAAGAGTCAATCCAAAACAGAGGGAACAGGGATAGCTTTGCAGTGTGGCGACTGGCAAAAACAGTAATTTAGTGATTACAACCCACTAGTCTCTGCATGGGTAAAGGGAGCTGAGGGGGATAGCAGTACAGCCAGATGAGACTACCACAGCAGGTGAACCTCCAGTCTGTTCAAACAGCACTTAAAGCACTTCACCCCCTGCTGTGCCCATTTTAAGCGGGCTAAAAAAAAAATAAAAAAAAGAAATTAAAAAAAGAAATCGACTGCTAAAACCTCTCCTGTCTAAAGCTGCCGCATTCACACACACAGGAGGATGCACCGAAACACATCTGCGTACTTTAATGTTGCATTTGATCACCTGAAAGTGTAAAACCTTAAAATGTTTAAAAACAAAGAGGAAGTGAGATTCAATTATTCAGCGCTGTGAAAAGGTCTTCGACTCCTCACATATTTATTTTGTTTTGAATACTTTCTCAGGCTTGAATGTTTTAGATCCATCCATCGCAGAGTCACAAATGGGCCTGATACTTACACCCGGTTAAGCGGGGATTGAAGGTGGACTCACACCAGCCCAGTTAAGATTGCCTTAATCAAACTCTAGTCCATGTGTCTGGAGAGTCCGATTCGTTTTGGTAAGCGGAATAAAACTGATTTGGACCAAAAAGGTGAACTCTGGTCTGCCTAAAAGCCAGACGTGATTTGATTGAAGTGAACTATGGTGCGGTTCGGACGCATATGTGGATGCAAGCGGACTGGAGACTCTGCGTCTTCTTCAGAGGTTTTTGTGTCTTATTTTAGTGGTTCTGGGTGCAGCGCCACCACAGGCGAGGAGAGGAAAGATTTTGGTTCGTTTGACACAGCGCAGCATGAAAGCAAATCACACCTGAAAATGTAACAAATGTCAATTTGGTCCCCAATCGAACCGAGTCTACCGGACCACCAGGTGTGGAAACAACTGCAGAAACAAAACAACCATAAGCTCGGCCACTTATTTTTTGGAGTCTCAAGCTTAAAAATGTCTCTGTAAGGTTTTCTCATCTGTTCCTGAATTTCTTGAGAGCATCACTTGATGTGTGTGTGTGTGTTTTAGATTGGTCACCTCTAATTGTCAAGTTCTAGTCTAAGTGCTTTCTTAATCACAATAATTAGAACTGTGTGTGTCTTATAATATTCGTGATTTAACAAGCGGGCAGCTATATTTTCAAATTATTATGCTGAGTTGGAAGAGATTCTACTTTTACTTCTACTTTTCCACATGATTCAAAAACGTTTTTTTTAATTTACTTTTTGTTATCGTTGCCAAATCTTAAAGTTGGCTTAATGAGCTGCAAAATTTAACAGCAACATTAATTAATAGGCAATTCAGCCTTTTGCCATAGCAAATTTTCATCAAAGGGTTTCAGGATTCCTTACGCAAAACAGAGCCCTCGAACGCCTCACCCGCTTGCTTCATCATAAACGTTCCCCCTCGTTTATGTATTCTGTACATCATCTGTACAGAATACATGACAAACGTGCTTTCATCTTCAAAGTTGCGGAAATTAGTCAGACACCTCAAAATAGCCCAGAAGACTGACTTGCTGCAATTATCAAAGTGCAATAAGCGCTAATGCATTCAGCGCCGATACGTGTTGCCTAAAATAGCAGGTGTTTACCCACAGTGACGATTTGTGGAGCCTGTGAGGGATTTGAGCAAAGCGGGATCACACACAATGGGTGCCATATGAGTAATCGATTTAGTGTGGTGTGATGTGGATGCTGATGAGGCTTTTGATAACATGAAATGACTCTGAGCATGGGGGGCTTAGAGGCGGCAGTGGTGCATGTAACATCACAGCGATTCTCCCTCTGTTTACCTTTTAATCATTAAAAAACAAGGCGCTGTTGTGATTATGATGAAATATTAAATTGTTCTTAGCCCATCCTACCCAACATGCAAACGTACACAGAGAAAGAGAGAGAGAGATTTCTGCCACTATTTGACGTTAAAAAGTTAAATTAAAATCAGTGAGCTAAATTCATATGATGTTGTGCAGAGCTAAATTGTTTCCTTTCACAGACTTAGATTTAATCCATCTGAACGTTTGCCACGTATTCCGCTGAAATTTCCCCAGACGTGCAAGCTGCTCTCCAGAACCGGGCTTAAAGTGCACGTGTGTTTTTCAGTTGTGTGTTTTTGTTCTGGGAGCGCGCGAGCGCAGGGAGAATCCGACGGAACGAGAGAATGACCCAGTTCTTTTGTGTCTCAAAGGAGCGATCGAGACTGGGAAATAATAAATAAATAAATAAATAAATAAATAAAATCTGGAAAACATCCCTCTGCATATGTGCACAAAGCATGAACAGAAACACGCTTAAAGACACACACGTAGCCATGGCCTTGTCAGACCGTCTGGCATGAACACACGCACACACCACACACACACACACACACCACACACACACACACACACACACACACACACACACACAAGCTCACACACAAAAATCTGCTCTGAAACAAGCTGTTTAGCAAGACATTTTGGATTCAGTAAATTATCTCCAGTATTTGCTGAGTAGTGGCTCTTGTTTCAGAGCCAGCGGAGCCGCTTGTTGTTGCTTATGAATTATTAAAAGCCGGAGTCTTTTCTGAGAGAGAACAAAATCCAAAACGCTCCTTTCTTTTTCTCCTGGCGCAGAAGTCTCCGAGCTCCGATCTGGGCGCTCGCGGCGCGGTTGCGTCAGAACGGCCTGTCAGGGAGCCATTACCCCGATCCACTGTTCTGTTCTTCCACACACACACACAGCAAATACAACAATAACCACCGAGGAGCAAGCGGAGTCCCTGATAACATGGCAACAAAATGGAAACGGGAACCAACTCGTTCGAAAGAATCGTTCATAACACTGACTCGATGGGCAAATTCAAGAAAATGTCGCACGTGAACGCCCGCGCAGTGCTGTGTTTCAGCTCACAACGCCCTGGAAGACAGAATGAAAGCAAGGGTTTGAACTGAAAGCAACAAAAAGACAAGAAAGACAAAAAGAAACAGAAGAGCAGCTGTGCTCTGATGAACAGAGATCAAAGCATGGAAGTGGCATGTAAATGAACTGGTCTGATGCGCAGTTAAAAATAGCAGCTGCAGAACACGGGAGGCTGACAAGACAGTCGGCGCTTCACAAAGCATCAAGGCAGTGTCAGGCTCGCCCTCGTCTCACCCCTCCATCCGACTCAGCGCGGATCGCTCTCTTTCTGTGCACCAAAAATGGCAAAACCCGCAATTCGAAGGGAAGATTTGCAAAGCTTGTGCAACAGCCGACGGAGAGAGGGGAAGCTACAAATCTTTAGCTGACCCCAGCTTTGATTAAAAGTGTTCAATATAGCTTATTGGGATTTTATGTAATAGACCAACTTAACGTTGATGGGATCCGGAGGTGTTTCGAGGTTTCTTTATTCTGTATTCCTCTCAGTCTTGTTTATGTTTTGCTTCTGTTCAGTCATTCCTTAACGATTCTAGTTTGTTTATTTCTTGCGTAGTTATTTGTTGTTATTCTAGCTCAGTTATGTTTCAGAGTTATTTCCTCCCTTTCTTTTCACACTGTTTCTAATTCCTTGTTGAATAATCAACCTCCTCAGTACATGAAACTCCTTCTCAGTTCCTGCTTGCTGGTTCTTCCTGTTAAAGCCTGCCTAATCCCATCACCTCCCTGTTGTTCCTGGTTCCTGTTATTTTTGATCTTCCCTGGCTCCCTGTGTTCTCCATGTTTTTTGTTTTTCTTCCATTCTTTATTAAATCTTCTATATCGATTCAAAGTGTCGGCCTCCAGCATTTGGGTCCAACACCAGCACACACCTATAACAAAAGTAGCTCTTAATAATAAAGTTGAATAAAACAAAGGCATAGTTTTGTTTTTTGGGGGTTTTTTTCAAACAAAAATCTGAAACATATTTGTTATTAGACAAATCCCTTCTAATAAAACTGACTCCACTGCAAAAACTAACAAATCTTACAAAGTATTTTTTATCTAGTTTCTAGTACAAATGTTTTAGTACAGTTGAAACCAAACAGAACAAGCTTTTGTCTTGTTGTTGTGCCATTTGATATAACATCGTCTTACTTTGCTACCAGGAGCGCTAAACAGATGTGTTGAAGCAAGAATAAAAGCATAAAAGAGCCACTTTTTGAAAACACCAACCAAAAAAAAAACCCGATTGTTCTGAATGTCGAGGGTAAAATCAAGGAAAAGCGTGTCGTGTTTACCTGCAGGCCCAGTGGTTTCCAGCGTACGTTCCTGAGCAGCGCTGGGGTGGAGCTCAGGGTGTTCTGGGGCCTTTTCTTCAGCGTGAGGATGACTCCGCACGGGTCTTCCCTCAGAGCGTTCACCAGGTTCTTCAGCTGCCATCCCACCTGAGGAAGACGTACAAAGATGAGCCCAAAACTGTTCTTACACCTGGCAAATCTACATTTGAAATGATTTTTTTTTTTAGGCCAAGAAAATCAGCAGAAAAAAGGAGCGTCAATGTTTTTGCGCTGTCAATCACTCTAATGTACTCTCTCCTCAGCATGCTAATGGCTGAGAAACAACCTTACAGGGAAACTGTTTATTCACCGTAATCAGTGGGAATGCTAACTAGCCTGAGATTTCACAACAGGCTCTGCTGGCTGCAGAGGAGAAGTGGGGATGAGCAGCACTACACGGAGAGTGATTGACGGCACTCTTTATAAGAGTTCAGTTTGCTACATTTGAAAATTCATAAGAAAGAAGAAGCTGAATTGAGACAAACAAAAGTTATTGCATATTACAAAACATTTTCTGTAAAATCTTATATGACTAACAAAGTTGCCTTTTGTCTGGCACTTTAGCGGCATTAGCATCCTAAATCCCCCAAACGGAAAAATTGTAAAAACTGAAAGTGCATCACAACAGAAATGCAGGAGCACGTGTGGCAGGGAAACAAAATGCTGTTCAAAAAGTAAATGTCATATCGAAATAAATTGTGGCTTAGTCAGTATAAATTCGGAGACGGTGGGAGTTAGTAAAAGGAGCACGCCGGAGAAATGCTGACCGCAGAGTTTTCTTGTGGCTCGGCCCAGGCCGTCTCCAGAGCTCAGAGCACTCATCAGGTCATTGATTGGCAACATTGGTCTCAGTTACTGGCAGAGTCTGCAGAGGCCACTGCACACAACACGCACACAGCTTAATACAGAAATATATCCGCTCTGATTTTTAAAAAAGGACCTGTGTGTCGTAGCCAGATTGTTATATTTTGTCTTATTTAATCCAAGACGAGACTGAGTGTCTTTAGCTCGTGATGTGAATCTTAAACTCAGAGATGTTCGGTTGTGGTTCCCTCGCCAAGCGTCAGGAAAATGGGTGTCATCTGATATCGCCCCGGCTCTCATCAACTCCAATGTCCGTCCACTAAGCACCAAGTCACAAAAAATGATTACTGCGGAAAATCGTAGGGAAAAATAAGTCACTTGAGTTTGTTGAAAAGTGATGAATCTTCATCCCTTCTACTTGTTTTGTAGTTTTTCTGTGTGGCCCGAGGTTTTTAGATTCAATACTTAAAGTTGGAGAAAGACTACAGTTGTAAAAAAAGGAACATTGCCTTCATTGTCAATGCAGAGAATGGAGGGAAATTAAAAATTTGCCCAGATTAGCAGCCACATGCCGCTACTCAAACACTACAAAAACACAAAATATTACCAATAAGATTATAACTAGGACTTTTTTTTATCAGTATTATGAAATTATTGACTTAAAACAACCTCATGAATCTTGCTGAAAAGTTTCTTGTAAGTTAGTTTTTCTCTCATTTCAAGTGTACTAATATATTTGTACAAGAAACCAGACTTAAATTACTTGGTAAGATTTTGTGCTTTTGCAATGAAGCAGTTGATTTAAAAAAAAAAGTAAATGTTACCATCATGCCAGGAAGGGAAGTGAACAGCAATGTCCACACTATCTTGCCACATATTTCAGCAAATTGAAAAAAAAAAAAAGTGAGAGCATTTCTCACTTAAAAATTACATTTTTTAAAGATAACAAGGGTGAAACGTGACTTGCAAAAACCTTTCCAACTAATGGATTGGTTGGAAAACACAAAGTTTTCTCAATCAAAACTTGCTAAGAATGGTGGCACTGACGCGGTCATTCATCCAGCGGCCCGTCGGGTTTTTGAGTTAAGAAAATGTTTAAAGTTGGCAGATAATTTGAAAATATCACCTGGTAACCATGTGTTATCGAAAGGTTGGAAAATGAATCCCTGAACACCAACTACAGAGTCTTAAAAATGCAAACATAAAAAAAAAAAAACTTCAATAATTAAGCAATGTTAAGCCTGGTGGCCCAGCAGTCTTGTCATATACTGGGGTAAACCGAATCTGACGGCTGTAGAGATGCTCTTTTTAGTCAAACAAGCCGAGTGCAAAGACAAACAGGCGGACACCAAGCTAAGTGAAACCAGCATAATCTGCTGCTGACGAGATTCTTACAACCCCAGGGGTCTTCCTTATTTTCCCAGATGCTATTACCTCCACATAATTACGCTGCCTTTTCAAACAACTAGTGTGCTACTTGAGCAAAATCCACGTTTAGCTCCACCGCGCTGAAGGCTGAAGGTCCCGTTTTGAAGTCTAACCAGCAACGCTCGAGCCGTGTTGTTTGCTTTGTGTGCGTATGGGACAGGCCCACATAATCACCCTTTAATGTAATGAAATTCTGCTCATTCAATATTCACCCTAATCTCATATTTAATTCGAAGCCTGGCTAGATAAACTTATCAACTGCGATGTTGCGTTTTCCTCCCTCTCCTCCCAGTGAGCTCACGTTGGAGCTGCCAACTTCTTCTTCTTCTTCTTCCCTCCGTTTCTCTTTATCTGTTCTTCCTCCTCCTCTCCCCAAGTCGCTCTTTACCTCCTCCTCCCTTTTCGCCCCACTCTCCCAGCTCTGTTGCAACCCTGTTTCTCCACACACACACACACACACACACACACACACACACACGCATGCACACACTCTCTCCTCCGCTCCCACTCCATGCTTATCTCCTCCCCCAGAGTGAGGGATCAGAGCGGTGAGGGCCTAGCCGAGGGAGTAATAAAGGGCTGAAGCTGTGAGCCTGGCGGGGTGCGATCTGCACTGTCACCCTGAGGAAGAGGAGGGGCGGGGACAGGGAGATAACGCGCACCTTCATCACACGTCAATCAAACGACTCAGCGCAGAACCCTGCATGCATAGCGATGCGAGAGAATATTATGGCTAGTGAAGAGAAACCGGGGAGGGGGACTCACTTTTGAGACAGACGTAACCTTTTTTTCCCCCTCCTTTTCAGAAATCTCAGATAAACACAGATGATTCGTGGACATGATGAGTGACACTCACAGAGGAGTCTGCTCTGTCTAAAATGGCTGCCCGTTCCTTCTGATCTGATGACCTGATGAAATGCATAAGTTCTGAATCGCAACTTATGCAATTCAAAAAGTGAAACTGGGTTCGGGGGGTTCATACAGTAAAACTATTTACCCCAGTTAAAACCTTGCACATTTCTTCACAGCCCAACCGTGATGGCCGTCGTACATTATTGGGCTCTTATGGAGTAGTCAGAGACAACCATGTATTCCAATCTCTACTGGTTAACTAAGGTTAACTTTACTCTCAATGTGGAACATTTTAAAATTCGCAAAGTCTGTGCTTTTGTTGTTTAGTTTTTTTGTTTGTTTGGTTGGTTGTTCAGTTAACAACTTAAATTTTACATGTACGGGTCACCAGACGTGCAGTTTGAGGAGGTTTTCAAATTTCTAATTTTCTCAAATGCACCTTTACTTAAGAGAGCAAAGAAAGGGCGGAGTGGGACTCTCTCCGATTTACTCCAATTAAATCAGAACAGAAGTCAGTTTGTAAAAAGGAGCTGAATTGCTTTTTAGAAGTAAATTCTAACTGAAAAAAATAATTTTTTGTAGATTTTGTGAACATAAACAACACTTAAGCAATTGAAAATGATTAAGTTAAAACCAATGGAGCTTCTGTTCAAGGGATGCAATAAAGCTATCATGCATCAATTCAGGACTAGCTGTTAATGTATTGTAATTTGCATTAATAAGATCATTTCTCTGTAGTGGACAAGGCACTAAAATGGGCTGAAGAAATCCATTAAAAGTGAACGACCAATGTTGAACTAAAGGAGATGGGAAAACCAACATGGTTTTATGCTGCAGGAATACTTTAGCAAGAGCCTGGAAGGTGACTGAGGGATGGCCGGAACGGCACACGGGACAAAACTGGAAGAAAACATGCTTGAGGCTGAAAGAGACTTAGAACTGGGTTGGTGTTTGCGCTCCTCTAATCTGGAGCAAAGTTCCAAAAAAACGGCAAAACAGCTGAAACCCTGAGGTCCTCTAAACACACACTTGAAAACTGATGCTCGCAAATGTTCTCCGTCCTGTTTGACTGAGTTTCTATTGTTTTTGCAAAGAACAACGGCCAGATATACGTCAGTGAGTGTAAAGGTGCGACGCTGGCTGAGAGTCACCACACAGAAACAACTGTGGCTGTATCTGCAGCTAAACATTTTACCTCCGAGGGACATGAACACTTTGGCTTTCAAATGTGAAAAAATGAGAAAATGCGGATTATTTCAGCTTAATACACTGAAAATAAAGGAGCATAGGATGGGATACTTCAGTGGATGACGGAGCCAAATAACATAGTTTGTCCTCATGTGGCCCCGGGATGAACACAGTATAAAGTTTGTAAGATGTGACCACTGTGGAAGAAGAGCTGGTACATCCTCTGTGCTTCAGTACAGTTTGCATTTGGAGTTGTGTGACTCACCACTGTCTGGTGGTTGACTTGGATCACCTCGTCTCCAGCGTGGATTTTCTTGCACTGATCTGCCGGTGACTGAAACCGGAGGACAAAGGAGAGCGAGGGGAACAAACTTAGTTGATACTGAAGTGGTTCTGTTGTATCGGGGATAAATATGAAACCACATCTTTTACTGGTTATGATTCCAACTTCCGAATCTGAATGTTTATGACAGTAAAAACGCACGTTCTCTGTGGTTCCAGTGATAACGTGGAGTCCGTCGTATGTCGACTTGATGTACATCCCCTGGAAAACAAGAGGGAAAAGACCAGAGAATGGACACGTTTGAAACGATGCACATTTTTGCAGAAAAGCCGACACTAAAAAAATGAAGTTGAGTAATAGAGTGGTAGGTTTTGATAGAACGACAAAAATACAAAAGCTGCTGCTTGTCAGAAAAAGCAGCCAAAATCAAAAGTAATCTTTGCTGTTTCGAGAAGATATTATGGATTTATCCGTTTTTTTTTTTTTGCGGAAATGCTGAACGCTGTTGTTTGATGTACAAAAAATATTTCCAGCGAGTTGGAAATCGGAACCAGTTTGTGCAGCGGACCCTTCCAGCCATGTTTCTGGATCCTGCTCACAAGCTGCATTTTAAGTTATGCTCTCTGGACGTCATTCTGCAGAAGCTTTCCCCCGGTCCCATGCAGGGGATTTACGGAATCAAATCTGCTTTCCGATGCACTAACGGCCGACACGCTGCTGCCAACAGAATTATTAAACAATCTGTTCAGATAATTTGGCCGAGACCAACAAATGTAACACCTTAAACGGTCTAGTTGGAACAACATCAAGCACAGGTACAGACGCTCATCCGTCCAGAGGTGCTGGTGTAGCACTGTGCAGGATTCACTGCAACACCGAACAGCCAAATATTACCTATCACTAAAGTCTGTGACTTATTTCTGCTTTTTTTTTTTTACTTTATTATTCCCTCGCCTAGACGCTGAGGACTCTTTGCACTGCAAATGAAGGAAGAAAGGTTGGCCGAACCGAAGCTTCACGTCAGCAATTTTCAACAGCAATTAAAGATGAAAATTCAGTTTAGCCAAGTCTAAACTGAACGTAATGACGAGAAACCCCCGGGTTGGAGGAAAAATAACAAATCCAGCTGTCTGAAACCTTCAGCTAACCCCAGATGGCATGGGAGACTTCATGGCCACAGACATAAAACAAACATTTCATGAAATGTTATCATTGATTCTCTAGCCGGCGCTCTTCTATGGTGCATTCAGGTACAACTCTGACACTGCAAATGTTTGCCTTGATGTTGAGCATTTACAAGTGGACTTATTGTATAAAATAATTGGATTAATTTAGGAAATAAAACTACATCTCCAGTCAGCTCTATATTGCAAACGATTGAAAAATGTTCTAACAAATGGATGAAGTCAAATTATTGACAGAGAATGTTAACAAACTCCGTGGCTTATTGATTATTACCGAACCACCATTTCTGTGCACCGCTGCGCCCCCCTTACTTCGGTGTGGTAAATGAATTATATGTTGAATTAGTTTAGATTTTGGAGACTCATAAGTGAAAACACATTACCCTATGTAACCATGGAAACTACAAACAACATTTACATTTTTAAATACATTTTTAGAAATTGTGTTTATCCAAATCAATGAAATGAACATTAACCAACCATTTTCTACATGCCAAAATAAATAAATAAATAAAACATAGAAAACTGAAACACATATAAACACAAAACCTTACCAAGTGCATCTGGTCTAGTTTCTAGTGCAACTATCTTAGAACACTTGAAATAACAAAAACAAACGTTTCAACAAGACGTAGAAGATTGTTTTAATTCAATAATTCCCTAATATTGATGAAAAAAAGCATTTGTTCCATTTGTAGATAATTTCTCTTAAACCAAAACAAGATAAGTTAAACAATCTGCCAGAGAAACAAGAACATTGAGAAATGATTGAGCTGAAAACAAGCTCCTCTATCTTGCTGAAAAGTTTTCTATAAGTTAGTTTTCACCCTTATTGCAACATTTGCAGTAGAAACCAAAAACACTTGGTAACACTAGATTTATGACTGCGTCGTTAGCGCCACAAACACCTGTTATTTCTAATGTTAAAATGAAATTACTGCAGTTTCATTGTGTGTGTGTGTGTGTGTGTGTGTGTGTGTGTGTGTGTGTGTGTGTGTGTGTGTGTGTGTGTGTGTGTGTGTGTGTGTGTGTGTGTGTGTGTGTGTGTGTGTCCGTGAATGTTGTCCTCACCAGGCCTTCGCTGGGCATGATGCTGGTGAGGTGGACCACCTCCAGATGTGCCGACTGAGACACCAGAGAGTCCGACGACAGAGAGATGATGTGGTCGCAAATCCCTGCGAGGGTCTTACACTGAAGACAACGACGAAGGTGCGGAGAAGAAAGGAGAGAGAGAGAAAGTTAGAAAGCCATTGGGATCGGTTTTGGCTCATGAGAGACGCCGTGACCTCGCTGGAGGAGGTGAAACAGACATCATTTTCATCAGGCTGTTCCACATCACCACTCCCCGTCGCCTCTGTCACACAAACTGTTTCCTGTCACAGTCTGTCCACGGGCAGGCCCACGGAGAGGCAACGGCGAGCCCACGAGGCCCGGCTGGTGCTTGGTGACATGTGCGGAGCTCACTTTTTATTGGTTGCCTTTCGTTCGTTTTGAAGAAATGCCTCCAGACTGCACTGTGGGTGTAATTCCCAGCTCCTTTGGCTCCGTCTTAAATCCGAGCAAACACGCCCGCTGAGTGGTGCAGCTTTTCCCTGCCTTTGTTCTGAGCAAAGATTGACATTTTCTCTGGCTGTGTGCTCGTTTATCACCGGCAACATTTCCTGCCTTTTAATCTCCGCTGAGTGACTGCAGCGCTTTGGTGGACATTTATCCCAGCAACTTTGTCTCATGGGGTGTCCTACTTGATGCGTGCACACGCGCGGGAGCACAAATAAGGAGAAGGGCCTCGCTGCAGCAAACAGAAAGAACCACTGTCAGTCTCATATCTGATTTGGAAATGGGACCATTGCACTCCGGAAGTGAAGAGGGCGCTATTTACTATATTATCCGCAGCTTCTGACTGTGGCTCTGTGGGGAGGGAGCCACTGTCAACCTGATCAGAAGGTTGTAGGTTTGCTGCCAGCTTCCTTCACCTGGGCCAGGCACTAAATCCCTATTGTGTATTTGTGAGTGCAAATGGGTGTCATATGTAGTTTTGAATGGTCAAAATGATTGGGAAAGTGATATATAAGTTCTGTCCATTTACCATTGTACATGCCTGCTTAGTGGTGCAGCTTTTCCCTGCCATTCCTTTTCTCTACCATCATAGAGAGACAGACGTCTACTTCAGTTCTGTTCTTCAACTTGACCCTCATACTTTAATCTCAAAGGTTAAGATTAACCAACAAAAGATTAACCAACAAAGAAAAGAATCTTATGACTCAAAAACAACCTCTATCTCTTTCTGTGTAATAATGACTTAGAACATAAGGAACTAAGAAACACTAAAGGGAATCCTCTATTTTCGTCCTCATGACACATAGCTCTGCTTGCTAACACACAACAAACGTGGTTGCATAATTCATTGTCTGCACCTGCACAAATACATACTCAGACATTAGAAAAAAAGATGGGGAGGGAATGACTGAAAGTAGAAGAGAGAAGCATGAAGACAGGAGAGGCGGGAGGGAGAGTCTGGGCAGAAAGGGGAGAAAACGAGGGAAAGAGAGAACATACAACTAGGACAGTGTTATGTAATTCCTCTCATCCTTATGCATGCATGCACATAAAAACACTCATGCACACTTCATGCTTCATCAGACACGCAGGCTCACACACACACACACGCATAAATGCTGTTTTCAGAACACACACACACACACACACACACACACATCCTGTCCATCTGATTGCTGCAGGCTGTAGTCTAGCGGAGAGGAGTGAAGCACAGAGTTTTGCATTATTGAGAAGAAGTGAACTAACATACAACTGCACTATAGTCACCAACATGAAACCCATGCTGCATTTAAAACTCTCCATAATTATGTCTGAGTGCAGTTTGCTGCATCATTCAATCAGTAAATATATCCATGTAAAGGAGATTCTGTTGCACTATTAATATCTGAATCTATTTTTGTCCACTAAAATAATAATACCACAAGTGACAAAGTGACAGCTGGGAATATTGATTTGTACTAGTGAAGATTAATAGCTCTTTAAATCAGTCACACACACACACACACACACACACACACACACACACACACACACACACACACACACACACACACACACACACCGTACTGTACAGTGTTTGGTAGTGAAGAAGGAGTTTCTCCAGTACTTCAATACTGAAGAATAATCAGCTCGTGTTGCTAATGTTGGTTTTTTTACTTCACCTGAAAAGACCAAATCCTTCTGCATTTCTGTTGCGATGGTTCAAAGAAGTTGATGTCTTACTTGGAGCAGAAAACTTGTTTTTGTTTTTTTTACTTTTTCATTTTGTAGAAATCCAGATTATTCAGTCCGAGAGACTGGAGCTCATGACTAAGTCCAATGGGGATCAAGACCCATGCTGTCTAAACAAACTTGAATCTCAGAAATGTCTTAGTAGTTTAACATTTTATGAACCTTTAAAATGTTAAAGGTTCATAAAATGAACCTTTAACAACATGTTGTCAGGTTTGCATATGATGGTTAACTGCAAAGTATCTGCTGATTACACAACTGGAAAATGGAGGCAGTTGTTACGATTGTCTCAATTAGTTATCTAAATATATGCATTTCTGCTATACAGTAAGTCAGTCTAAGTAACAGTAAGCGTTCCATTTAATGCTGACAACTTTTCACACCGATTCATTTCTTTTTGAGACAGTTACTCCAGTGGAAAACGCTTCACCTGCTGTTTTCTTGGTACATATTTCACACAGGAAGCTTATAAGTTGTTGCTCTTTCTCCAATTTAAATATTCTGTGTATTTCCGTGTGTATTTCCAGTTTCCGTGTAAATAATCGTCAAAAGGCTAATGAGAGTATAAAATTCTGCTTATTTATTTCTTAATATATAAAGAAATGCGTGTGTTGCTTTTTGATTGGTTGCCAGCTGAACCGTTTCAAGGCTCTAAAACCTTATTTTACATTTTCTGCATGTGATGAATAAACATCTGACTTGCTCTTGAGTTGCAGAAATTTCTAGAAAGCATTATCTAATGTCCTCTAAATGCTTAGTCTTTTCTCTTTTTTTTATTTTTTATTTTTTTGCTCTGCACATTATTTGCTTCGCTCCCTCCACCTGACCTTGAATGGCAACAGGAAGCCGCCTCCCGATCCGACTGTCAGCCCGGATCAGACACTGGCTGCTCACTCTGTTTCACACGTGGATGCAGACAGTTCCCCATCGCACCCACACACGGTCTGCAATGGAGCTTTCAAGAGGCCCGCGGCCTATTTGCACTTCACCAGACACGCGTTTTCCCCAAAAACAGACCAGCACAGACACACATCAAATCGATCTCGGGCCAAAGTGTGCTCAAATGTGACACTTTTAATGAAACTGTTATGTTCTGAGTGCAGAATCAATCAAAATGCTTTCTCTGCTTATGACAATCACAGATTCTGCCTGGCATCGATTGACACAAAATGTTTGGAAATGGCAAAGCGCTTGGCGCACTTATTGAATGTCTCTTCGAAATGTTCTAAAAATACACTTTGCACAGAGTGGGGGAGGATACATCCCGTCCGCATTAGTATTCACAACAAAAAAAAGAAAGAGGAATCTCTAGAAACCGTGTTTTTTGGCAAACACTTACCACATGAAGGATCTTATTCTCCGTTTCATACACGGTGCAGTCCTGTTAAGGGAGAGGAGCCGAGAAAGACAAGCAATTAATGCAAATTCAAACAAAAACATCCACACGAAAGCTCCAGTGTCTCTCAGCTCCAGATATCACATCCAGGAAAAAAGCACTTTACGCTCTGCTATGTTTTCAATTGTGACAGCAGGAGAGAAGTGTTTAAATACTGTCTAATGGTTGACAGGGACACGTAGTGACCCCAAGACGCCATTATTCCCTGCAGTTCTTCAGCAATGAGTAGAGATGGAGAAGAAATGAGTGTCCTCATTTGGGCCAGTGGTTTGAAGCTAAAAGAAATAGGCGTCTGTGTCATGAAACAGGAAGCAGGTTGCTAATTAAACACACCAAAAAAGTTTTAATGACCTCAAAAAGTAAAGAGTGGATTCAATTTAAGCTGAAATTTGCAAATTTCAAATTCTCCCACTGAACAAATAGGATATGTTGCCATCGAAGCCGTTTTTAAAGTAAGACCGTACTGCTGTGGAACGACGCGAATGTATTCCGACGCTTTTCCCACATCTTTACCACAGGCGCCAACATATTTGACTGCATCTGTGCAATTCTGGGAAGCATCTCGCTGAATCCACCAGATGTGTATGGTAGGCAGCAATTACATCTGTTTGATGCATTAATGGAGACACTGCTGCCACCTTTGTCTCTCTCACTGCGTCCCCTGGCAACCACGGGCTCATTTGGCCTATTGTGAACCTACGGTGTGGCCCCTTTCTGTTCCATCTCCTTTGGCCCTTGTAATGTGGGGATTGGGTGTTATCTCCTCAGCTGCAGGATTCACTCTGGGCACAAGTACAAACGCACTGACACATACTCTGAGCAGGCTCTTACTGTGAGGGCACAGTCCAGGTCCAAGAGAGAAGACAGTTTGTTTGTTTTTTCCAAATAATTGAAACGGCTACAAAGCCAAAGTGTTTGCATGTGGCAGCTGCTTTATTTATTTATCCTTTAAAGAGGTGCCGTGTGCTGGATTAACATAGGGAAGCGGGCACATAGAGGTCAGAAAACGATGGGGCGTGTTTGGGTCACCACCAGGACCTGTTGACTTCACTGCTAGTGAAGTCAACTTTAAAGGGAAAGTAATACATGTTTTTCAGACACATAGTGCTATCTTATAATATATATGTTATCTTCAGTTGTCATAAAAATCCTGTATATATCAAATATGACTTTGGAATTTAATGCTTTGAAATTGGGCCTCTGTCTCTTTAAGAAACTCCTGCTCTTTCTGAAATTCTGCCTTCAGGAAGTCATCACAACATGGCTTCCCTATTAACCCTTTAATACCAGTGTTGCGCTGAGAAGTGGCCTGTATAATGAGCTCAGCAGATTCACAGTTCCACCAGATGTTTGCTAATTGCTGCTGGCTAGTCTGGAGGAATTGAGGGGGGAGTCAGAAGTTTGGAACGGCAGCTTTAAGGAGGAGCTACGCCTCGAAGGCGGAGCCAGGTCCACCCAGACATTTTGAACAGCCAAATGGTTGCCATGGGATATTAAAGGATTTCTCAAACGTGCATGAAAGAATCAAGGAAACATGTTTATGTTGAGTGGATAACATTATTGCAAGTTTCAAAACAATGTTGATTTGACATGATACTTTAGTTTGTAAAAGGAAATATTAACTTGTGAATTCAATATTTAGTTTGGGACTCTGATATTTAAGATGTAGAAATAATATGGTGAAAATATGATGTTGAAAAATGAACACCTACATGTTTTTCTCTACAACAAGCTAAATATACAAAGTTTTTGCTGTTAATTCTTCATGATGCAACTTTACAAATGGCACCCCATATGAACTTCTCTCTTTTTTCTTCGATCCATACGACCAATGAACTGTCTGACTGTTCATGGAAAAGTCAGACAGTTTGACAATGTGTGAAAGCACCTGTTGTACAATGGTGGTCAGCTCTAAGCACAGCTGCACAATGTTGTTCTTCAGTAATGAATACTCAGTCACACTGGCGAATGGAGACCTGAAACAAACGAAAACAGGTTGTAGTCAGACAAATACACCGGCTGCACAGGCAGCACATATTTGGTTATGTGTGTCAGCTCCCTCTTTCTGCATTTGACTCTCTGTCATTTTCACCAACATGACACTTGTGTCAAAGCTAAGCTGTGATGCATGCTCTGATGTTGTTGATGAACCCGTGTTATCGCAGCTCTTTTTTTTTTTTAACCTCTGCATTTACCTCAACTTTATGCTACTGATTACCATTCTTCTTCACGATTTGACTTAAAACTGAAATCCGAAAATCTGTCCTTGCGTTCTGAGAACAGAAATATCCTGTCAAATTTGTATTTTCTCTCTTTTTGTAAATTTCAAATGTACAATTCAAAACAAATTTGTAGGATTTCACTATCTTTTGCCGACTAATATGTGCATTCTGTAAAACTGCAATGAAACCAATAGTTTACTGTAATCCAATAAACAGTAAAATACTGTTAAAATGAATCACAATACGTGAAATAACGGTAAAATGCTGTCGTCTTACCTAACAGCAAGTTACTGCTACTTCACTGTTAATCTACTGTAATTCAGTTTACAGTGATGCACTGTGAAAAATACATTACAGTAAGTGAACAGTAAGACAAAAAAACAGAAAATTACTGGTGCCCCTGTTGCCTACAACCACTATGTTTTATGATTGGGATGGTATTTTTGGTGTCTGCCCACAGCACCTTCTTTCATATGCTTGGTCTGTCCTCTACATGCTTTTGGACAAATGATATATAAAGTCATGAACCTAAAACCTGTGGTAACTCCATCGCTCCACGCATAGAGACGAAACTCCAGCAAAGTGGGATTCGATTGGTTGAGCTGTTCATGCCAGAGTGTCCAACACAAGCACGTCGAATGACTGCCGACAACTTATTAGTCGTGGTACGTCTACCATGTAAATAGTTTAAAGATGAACAACTTTTACCTGTCGAGCCAGGCAAGCAGATTCTTGGCAGCACCAATCAAATCCACCACTGACGTAAGAAAGTCGTTGGGCAGCCTTCTGGAGGCTCGGCCGTCGTAATGACCCCCCCTCCGTCGGCCCAGGATGAAGTTCTGGAGGTTCTTTGCTGAAGCGTTGAGCTTGTGGGACAATGTTCTGAGGTTCTCTGTTTCTAAGCCATAGTTCTGGAAGAGAAACAGATGAACATTTGGAAGAAAAGAAAATGTTGCTTGGCTACTGCTGCCACATAGGCTGGTTAGTCTCTGTACAGATTTTGGTGTGATCAGAGACACAAATCTACGGTAAGATAAAAAGACCTTTTGAGATTTTCGGTATGTCAAGTTGTGTGTAAGGACACCGGAGGGGCTGTGGTGGGAATAACACACTATGTTCTCATCACTGAAACAATCAATATCTTTCTTTTTCACACCTTTTTTATTTTTTGCTTCGCTTTCATGCAACCCTCTTTGGCCTAGCCCTCAAACGTCTTCACAAGGACTTTTGATTTTGCTCTGGGGTTGACACATTTTGAACCAAAACAGCTTCAGACATTGCGCCTGTCTCCTCCCTGAGTTTTATGATAGGCGGGCATTGTGTGTTCCTGCTTCCACACAATGTTGTTGTTTAGGTTAACATGGTGCCTTCTGGTATCTAGAACCTGTATCAAAAGTTTAATCAGATTTGTGAAGGTCCACCAGTGTCTGTCTGGTATTGTGCCTGATTTGTGCAGATCTTCTTTTTTTTTTTTTTACTTGCCTATTCGCACAAGGTCGTAGTGCGTTTGAGCTGTGCTTTAAAATACATCTACAGGTTTGTCTCAGTTTAACTCAGATATGTCATATATCAACTTATTAGAAGCTTGTAACGCATCATTCAGGTTCCCTCAAATTCTTTAGTCATAACAATTTTAGCGTATGAAAACATCTGACGTTGAAGAGAGTAATAAACAATTATCTCTATTACAAACACAGTCAGAATATTACCCACTGCATGCTCATATATGATTTCAATTAGATGTACAGGAATGCAAACACCATATACTTAGTAAGTCAAGAGACTTGACTGAAATGTTTCAAAAGAGCCCCAAAAATGTGCAGATTTGCATCTTTTTAAAAGCAAAACATCTTGCTGCGTGTGGGTTGGTACTTGGATTTTTTTCTTTTTAGCTGAATTCTTGTGTCACATTAACCTAATTTTAAATTTTTAGCATGTGATGAATAAACATCAACAACAAGCCTGGTCTAAGTAATTCTGTCTGGTTTAGTGTTTCTTCCTTGTAAACACACACTTCCCACTCATTACAGAGTCACTGTGTAGTTTTTAGCCAAGCTCCAGGGGTCATGTAAGCATATGGGTTGCTCTTGTCCTGCGTCATTATAAGGAAAGTAAACAAAATGATACGAAAGCTTGGACACCAAAAAGATTACCGATGGCTCATCATCGGCTACCTTATCTGAGCTTCTCTGTATTGTAGAAAGGCAACGTAATCTTGGTATACATCTTGCCTCGGCCTGTTTGTGGTGACTTTTTTTCTGTGGAAAGTAAATCCAAGTAATTCATAGAAAATCCGCCAATTTTACTGTTTAATTTGTAATTAATTTTAAATGTTAAAAGTGTTATTGGGTGTTTTGAAAGGCGTTGTCAAATATAATGCGTTATTATTATAATTATTAAAACACGGCTGGTACAGAAAATGGTGTCACTAGCGCCCCCTTCATTTCCGGAATGTAATAATCCCATTTCCATATAAGGAATGAGAGTGACAGCGGTCCGGCCCCGCCCCTTCCTCTTTGCTGCAGCGAGGTGTACTTGGAGTTGGGATTTTTCTGAAATTATGGGATGTTCCGTCCACGTCGACGGGGCCCAGGGCTTTCACAACAAAAGGTTGAATGTTTCATAAACCGCGGAAGATGTCAAGACGGACAGGCAGGACTGACGACGTCGCCTCACCGCGTCAAACACTAATTAGGCAACTGCGGAACCAAAAGGCGTGACGACCGGAGGAGAGGAGGGAGGATAAACGGGGAGCACCCAGCGATGCGTCTCTCTCAAACTGGGTCAGGCTCCCATCGCGCTCCGTGCGATTTTCTGCGCCCTGCGCGATCCGAGGTGCACGCATGGACGTGTTTGCGCTGCTGTAATCGGGCTGTCACGTCATGACGTGATGTAAAAAAAATAAATAAATAAATCCGCGTGCGTCTGTCTGCCTCCAGGGCGCGCGCGTGCTGCTGACACCGCGAGAGAAGAAGTCGTTGAAAAGGCTGCATGCGCGTGTGTGGCACATCAATCCCGTTACAGGATGACGTCATTATTACCACCGACGCCCACAGCCGCCCTACCGTCCCTCCTCGTGTCAGTGTGGTTGCCACAGCAACCGTGTATAAAGTGGCCTTGCTTTATTCTGCATATTGAGTCTGCATGAGTGTTTTTTTCCTTCTTCTTCTTTTTTGCACTATGCTGAATTTTAAATTTGCATGGTGCATTTTCCATACTGAATCAAGCTGTAAATTTTATTGCCAGACCATTTGAAAAGAGTCCCGTATTTGTTCATCTGTTTACAAGTTGAAACAAGGAGCAGAATGCTAATCACAACCCAGTGGTTCGGATTCGTTTTTTTGTTTTAAATGACCCAGTTTAAGGAAGCCGTTCTGTAAAAGGCTGATCGTGTGAGTCAAGCAACCGGATGACTACAACGCATCTTTCTCCGAGACTTAACACAAGGCATGGCGTCTCCAATTCTTCTGTGAAACACTCTGCAAAATGATTTAAGCCACATTTTTCTGGTCTGTTCATCTGAAGCTTTTTGTCGGCTCATGCCGGCACAGACAGGATGAGCAAAAATAGATTTAAAATGTTATCGGGCCGTTTTCTCTCTTCTTCCTTTCAATATTGACACAAATTCCACACCAGAAATAGACTTCTGTTCTTAAACTTACTAAAAGTCCTGTTGTTTTTCTGAAATCTAAATATAGAGAGAAGCTTACGATAAATTATGTTGTATATGTCAGGATTTATAAACATATAAGTCAGGTTTTGGTGTTTTGTAGGGGTCATGTTGGCTTTGTGGCTCTTGTGAGCATTGTGCTGAAAACGACATCAGGCTCAACTTTGCTATGTTTCCAAAGCGACCCGGGACAAAGTCATAGAAATGAATGTGAATGAATTTAGTCATGAATTCAACGTCGCACTAAGAGGATGACTAATTGTGGTATTGACTTTTAGTTCTTGTTAGGTGAGAACCTGCACAACGTTAAGAGTCATCTCAGAGACTGCTTTTCAAATTCTCATCTGTAACTGTGTGTGTGTGTGTGTGTGTGTGTGTGTGTGTGTGTGTGTGTGTGTGTGTGTGTGTGTGTGTGTGTGTGTGTGCGTGTGTGCGTGTGTGTGTGCATGTGTGTACATGAGGGTCTGAGTGTGTCCATTCTTAGGCCGTACAATGATTGGTACTCTGGGACACTCAGTCCCACGCTGGAAGATTTGAATGAGAAGAGGTGCTGATTAACTCACGCACTCACAGACCCTCTTCCGCACATTTGAGCAGCTCCTACTAATCCAGCCGCGTGTGCCTGAGAGATAAGGTGCATCCTGCATGCTCTTTCTACATGCTCTCCCTCTCCCTTCCCCTCTCACCTCTCCTCCGCTCCCTCCTTTCACCCGTTCTGGGAGAGTAGCACCTAATTCCCCCTAATTCGCTAATCCTGAGCAGGTGCCACTGCACATACAGTCAGCAGTGACCGAGGCGGTGCGAGCAAAGCAAGACTCGGGTCACTGAGGACTGTTATTTATTTATTTGCTTTGCTATTTAAAAAAAATTAAAAAAAATATTTTTGAGCCAATATCAATAACTGATGCTCCAGAAAGTAGATACAAAGCTGTGTTTTCACAATACTGTCTCGTTTTCACAAAAATAATCATTTCTTCGCTAATTCTATCCACACGTTTTGACTGAAACACATGCAGTAGATTCTACACAAGACAACGAATCAAAAAGATTGAGACCAGACAATAGTAACAGTTTAAAAGTGGAAAAACTGGCTATGGTGATCAAAGATTAACCAGAGTGTTGCAGAAACACACAGTAGACGTAACTGAGCAGACCAATCAATGAGGCACTTGGCCAGCGAGCAGCTAACATAATTAAAGAATATTGCATTACAAAAGCCTCTCGCTTCATCTGTACTTCTAAAAATATATATCTATTTGTTCTTGCAGCGCTACTTGGTTACACAGCTACCATCATAGTAAATTAGTTGATTCTTGAACCAGAAACACTGCTTTTTCTTGGTGGGGGTTAAGAGTGAAAAGCTAGCTCTGGGTTCGCTTGTCCATATGGTCTGCAATGGCCCTGACATGCATAACCACAGCCATGCATTCTCACAGTCGCACTTGAGTCAAAAAGCGAAATGACAGAAATGCACAACTCCAGAATTTACAATTAGGAGCCTTCTTAAAGTGACGGTACACTGCCAAGCGATGACGGACAACACAGTCCAGAAACATTTCCTGTAAACTCATCTCGCTCATTAGCAGCAAACAAAGTTAGCATTCTCTGTGTATGTGTAAGACATCTCTCATATCAATCAGTCTCTCCAGTTTCTTCAGAATGATAGTGTAAATTCACGCAAAATCAACAAATCCCTGCACTTTTTTGCGCTGATAATTGGGAGTTTATTGCAGATTTTTCTCAAAAATGGTCCAAAACTTTATTTGTACTAAACAGCTTTAACTGATGGCAGATTGGAGTCCAAGATCTGTATAGCGAGTTAAAAAAAAAAAATCACATTAACCATCATAAATTGCAAATATTTCCACATTGGTACAACAAACATAAAATCCTGGAGGGACTGAAAAGATGTTCAATAACATTATTTCATTTTAAGAATTTATGGACATTTTTAACAGTTTGTGAGCAGGTTTCATGAATACATTCTGGCACAACCAACCCTTTAACAGCGTTCGCGATTTTAATTTGGCCCAAAATGAGTTTGACGCCCCCAGGTCAAAACAACCCGGTAACGGGGACTGACCAGGGCACAGAGGAGGTCCACAGCTTCCAGTATGAGCTCCTGGTGTCCTATTCTGGTGACGCCGAGCTCCTCCAGCTCCTGGTGGGTGATGTGCAGCAGCTGCTCTCCTCCTATCTGCTCCCGCTCAAAGCTCTTCACGTACTGCTGGAGGCAGTCGTCCAGACCTGAGAGGAGGGAACACACAGACTCGCGTGAGGGGATTCTGGTGGGCATGTGTGGGGTGAGCTGTTGGGAGAAAATAGCAAAAACGTTCAGTCTGATGAGTGGTTCGGAGGGCCGTCTGCTCTGGGACGGAGAATATGATAAGAAAATGTCATTTGTGAAAATGCCTTCAGAGATAGCTGTCACGTTGGAGTCTGAGCAGTCCAACAAGAGGCGATCTGTATTGAAGTATGCGAGTGGTTGTCGTCCACCCCAAACAACATTTAATTAATTGCAGCCACAGATAAACACCAGCCTGAAGGCAGATGTCTTTTCAATGCTTTGCTGGCGTCCAGTAACGATCACAAAGGAAAAAAAAAAAAAAACAGAACGCAACATCTGTTGTGTCCGTATCTGATTACGAGTAAATAAATGTACGTACAGGCAAAATAAGAGTTACTGCGGCGCTGCTGCTTTCTACATCTAAGCAAGAAAGGTAAGATCTACATTTTATTAATGAAAATAAATAGATATAAGCACCCTTCTAAAACACATGAAATGTTTCACATTTTCTCATCTTTTGGAACCTGCAGCATTTTTCTGGGGTACCTCACTGCTAATGTGACATATCTGGAGAAGAGGTGTGCGATACGTTGTATCACGACACTTTGTGCAATTGTTGTGATGACACTAAAAATGACAATAAAAACAACTCTTTATGGCTTCTTCCTTATGTAACTATATGGCTGTGACTACATGGCACAAATCCTGTTCTTGAAATCCATTCTCCGTAATGTCTTCAGGACAACACACAGTCACTGATAATGATAATAATTGCATTTTTATTGATATTTATCAATACTCTTATTGAGCAAACAGTAGAGGAAATGCTAAAATAATAATAACAATAATGATACAGATGCAAGGTTTCCCCCAGAAAACTTGCTAAACCCGGTGGTTGCACCAGGGCGGTCATCCATCCTGTACCCCATCATGATTTTGAGTTAAAAAAAAGAAAATATCACTTGATAATTGTGTGTTATTGGAAGATCAATACTTGAACACCAATTATAAAGTCTAAAAAATGCAAACCATTAAAAAACAAACTAAAATAACTGAGCAACACTAAGCCTGGTGGAGGCGCAACTAAAGCCTGGTTGCCCTCCAGGCTTGTAATAAACCCTGAAACAGCCAGAAGTTTTTCAAACGTGATTCATTCTAATTTAGCATTGCAACGATAAATCAAAATTTATGTGAAATTTATCACAATAAATTATACAATAAATTCCCAACCCTAAACTAGAGACACATTTTTGCCCATTTGCTTTGCAGAGTTGGTCAAAGATTGTCACTTTGGTTTAACATCATCTGTGAACATCAAATTTGTAGTATTGTATTGTATATCTTTATTACTACATCATATATTCATTTTTGGAAATTATCTAGGGTCCTCTGTTGCTAATTAGCTTATGCTATAAATAGTGCATCAAATGGTGATATTTATGTTTGAGGTGGACATTATCCCCTTTTTAAATAAAATTCTTTCAAGAATTTTATTTTATTCAAGTCTACCCACTGGTTTTCGATGTGGACTTTGACTGGGCCAGCAAACCCATGAAGATGTTTTGATTCACATCATTCATTTGTGTGTATATTTAGACCCTCCTACCCATAAACTCATCTGTGATGACTTTTCATGGTCTCTTTCAGGATTGGCTTTCTTCTTCCCACTCAGTCTAACTAATAGTTGTCCTGTCAACAGCTCTTCCATCTTTGCAGCTCCTCCAGAGTCTCTACAGGCCTCTTGTCAACTGTTGCATTCATGCCGTTTTCAGGTTGCTGTTTGTCCACCGACGTCCTCTGACAAAACGTCTGACACACACAGCAGAGGCTATATTTACGCTGTGATTCAGTGACAGAATGCCTCTATTTATAGAGTTTGTACTGGATTTTTTTTAAAGGTATAAAATCCCCATAAAAAATACACTGAATACATTTTCCTTGAATAGAGGAATATTCAAGGAAAATAAGCAGGCCCTTTCTCTAATCTGTAATTCCTTAGAATATTACAGGCCACATTGAAGAAAACGAGTTACAATCTGCAGTGTGGCCCATACGATTTTAAATGAATGTGAAAGTTGTGGGACTTTATGTGTGCAATCCATATTTTTTATACTAATGTGCAGTAGGATCTTCCTCTGCAGACAGCCAGTGTGTGTGTGCGTGTGTGTGTGTGTGCATGTGTGTGTGGGACACTATGGATCAGTAAGAGCTTCTGGCTCAGAACCTAACAAAGTCAGCAGAAAGCACATCTCCCCATAGACCTAATGAACAAGCCTTCTCCAAAATGAGCAAAGACAGAGCGAAACACACACAAAGGCACATAAATCCATGCACACTTCGAGCGTAGCGGCTACACGAGTAGCTCATCCCTCCACAAACACACACATCAAACACAACCACCCATCCCCAGCCGCCCGTCCCAAAACGATTGCAACTGCAGTTGTTACTGTCGTTAAAAGCCCGGGGGAGCTGCAAGGGAAAACACTGATGCCCGAGGGAAGCAAAGCTGACAGGGAGCAGAGCGTGTGCTACCACCTTAATACACCCATCATACGCACCCACACACACGCAGACACTTGGCACAATTAAAAGAAATACCAAGAGCACAAGGCGTCTCACCAGGGGAACGCGAGAGACCAAATGTAAGCCTTCTGTTGAATAAAGAGACAGTCAGAAGAAGCAAATCTTGCTATAGTAGCAGAGCGATTTTCAATCTAACACATTCGTAAAAAGGCTCTGAACTGCAGCGGAACGAGTGAAATGTATGTAACGGAATTCATTCCCAATCGAAAAAACCCTGTTGTCCCCATTGTTAGCATCTGCTGCAGACAAAAGCGGTACAAGGTTGCCCCATAGAGAGCTGCAGGGATGCCAAGTTTACACATAAGCCTGCTCTAGTACTGCTGTGAAATCAAGTGGGCGCATGTGTCGGTTGGTTTCCTTGCAGCCATGTGTAGCACTACAATCAGGTGATGGGGATTTTTTGAAAATATTTGAATTTCCTGAAGTAAATTGTTTTTATTTGGAAGTAAAAATGTAACCCATCTGCAGAATCACCACCTCAAGCGGGTTGTAGTACGTTCATGGCCCTGTAAGAGGGAAAGCGTTTTCTCGAGAGGGTTCAGGAGTGTTTCAGAGGAAAATTAATTTTGGTTTGAGCATGCCTTGGGATTTCTAGGGTTCTCTTCTCAATGGTAAAAGATCATAGATATATAAATAGATGCATGGTATAAATGATAGAGATTTCCAATGACTTTTAAATATAGAGTCTGGTTTGAGTTCTGGGAATGACTATTCTTATATAGAAGCCATCATATGAGGCTTCTTGGGACAGAAACTTTCGGAGGAAAAGTAAATGTGTGTCAAACCGGCTGAATTATTTTCACCTTTTTGAGCTGGCAATCAATCCATCCATCATCTTCCGCACCAAGAGGAGACTAATGTAGGCCGCTTGTGTCCCTGTTGCCATCTTCTGCTTAACGCTCAGTCAGGTCATGGAGGCATAGGCCTAAGGAGAGAGGCCCAGATTTCCCTCTTTTTGGCCACTTGGGCTGGGGAAAACCAAGAAACATTGTCCCTCCAGTGTGTCCCGGGTCCTCCTCTGGAACATATATATCTAAGATGGAGCCCACACCCAGAGGAGACTCATTTTGGCAGCTTGTGTCCCCAATGTCATTCTTTTGGTCATATGGGTAGGAGTATAGATCGACCTGTAAATGAAGAGCTTTGCCATTTGGTTCAGCTCTTTCTTCGCCATAACAGACCGGTACAGCACCTGCATCACTGCAAACGCCATACCTATAGATCTCCCAATCAATTTTTCTCTAGAAGATCCTTCTAGAACACCATCCCCCACCCCAAAAATAGGCACCCTTTCAATCAAGACTGTGGTTTCAGACTTGGAGATGCTGATTCTTATCTCGGCCGCTTCACACTCAAATGCCCACCACAACTGTCTGATGAAGCTAATAGGACTACATCGCCTGCGAAAAGCAGAGATTCTGCTGAGCAAAACCAAGATGGATCCCCTCAACACCTCGGCTGCACCTGGAAATTCTGTTCTTAAAGGTTATGAACAGAATCTGTGACAAACGGCAACGCTTGGTGGAGTTCACCTCTCACTGGAGCGAAGTCTTATCAATAACATCAATTTAAAATGGTCTTCAGCTTAGATTTTCTAATACCGTTCACTGTAACGGACTTCAAATCTCAGAGCTGGTGGCGTGAAAAATCAAGTAGTGATGGAACAAGGAAATTCACTGTTCAGAGACGTGTCATGTTTTGAGTTTGAAAGGGACTCGGGCATACAAGTATTTAATCATGAAAATAAATTAATCAATCGTGAAACTTACAAAAGGATGGGAGGAGAAACAAGCTGAATCTCAGGGAGAATGAAGGAAAGTCAGTAGAAGAATCCAGCAGTAAATGACAGGAAATGAGGAGCTTAAATAGGGGGAGCTCGATTGCTGGATGAGGAACAGGTGGCAGATTGTAACTGGATTTGGGTGAAAGAAGCAGAGCGACACATATGCTCAAATGCACAGAGAAGAACAAAATGAACAAGGAAAGTAAATATAAAGAAATGAACCGATAAGATCTAGGTTGAACTGAAAAAATTAAGAAATAATCAAAATACAAACAGACGAAAACCAAAGCTAGAACACTCAGCGCAGCAGTGGTAGTAGAAGTATTTTAGGGGTTACATAAATACATTTGTTTGTGCATGGAGCTGTACCTCTCACCTCAAAAAACCGTCGAATACAGACGTTTTGATTCAGTTTCAGCTTCCTGTGAATTTTGCAGTGACTCTCTAAATGTAATAAGGTGTAATTCTTGTTACAGAATCATTGGTTTTAGTTTCATAGATGAAAATGACGGATTTAACGTAGGGCCACTATATGAGTCTCTCCTTTTCTGTGGAGCTAGAGCAATCACTGCTGCAGTAGGAGAAGCCACAGCG